AGTTGCTTGTAAAATGCTTCAAAATAATTTTACAGTGAAGTTTTATTTTAACTTATTGATTCAAGCACTGTTTTCAGAAAATCAGCGATTTTTTTTTTATGATATTAAAAGTTTAAAACAAATCTAAGCACAGCTTCCTTTGGATACCGTATTTGTTTCCTCCCCTAATTTTATTGTGTAAAAAGTGGAAGGGGGGAATTACTCAAAGCAGATGAAAATATGAAATTACAGAAAGATGAATGCTTTGTTTAATATTGTTCTGTTAAATTTCATTTCAAAGCAGGGATTTACATACTGTCCTGTCTTGCAATCCTTGCATTCGCAATAACACTTTTCCCTTTTTTGGAATTTTTGCAGGAGTGTGAACAAACAAAGTTTTGCCATCACACTTCCTTAGAACTTTCATTTGAACAAAGCACATCTCTTGTATCTTAGAAAGCAGTAAGATTAGGTTCTTTTTCTGCAAAACCAACATCTCGCCAATTTTCCTTTTGGGCAGCAGAAAATTTTCAGTCATGCCTTTTCTTCTCATTATAGTTCTACAAGTATTTGTCCCAAGTCTAAAGAGTTTATCAGGAATGGAGAAATGGAAAAATAAAGTCAATATATATGTAGTACCCTTGACCAGAAAGTGCTTCAATTAAAGATTTAACATTTCTTTCACCATATAATCCTGAAGTTACTTTTAACTGTGTTTCCTTGATCATATTAATGATAAAATTACAGATATACCTTGATTTAGATTTATATATTTTTTTTTAAAATTTACAACACTGATACTGTAATGCTTAAAACAGAAACATTTCACGTACACAAGGTATGATTCTTGATTAGAAACTGTTCTGCACATGCTAACAACCAATGCTTTAGGGGTGGGGAAGACCTGTAACATTCATGAATAAATAACATGTGCATTTGATCTTATGTTTGTATGATCAAAATCCAACTGCGTACGAGTCAATTTGATTTCATTTTGAGTAGGAGATCAAATCTACATGCATCTCAAATCCTGTGGACTTATAATACTGTCTTGTGCTACAAGTATAGTAATTTTAATTTTGTACTACTATACTTGTGCTACAAGTATAGTAAAATTAAAATAATTAAACAAGAATATGTTTAATTATTTTAATTTTTCACACCATTTTTTTTAGTATTTACTTACCTGTTAGTGACTTTTACATTTATACATTTGATTACTAAACATTTTACTTAAATTTCATTTCAGAGCAGGGATCTGCATATTGTCCTGTCTTACAATCCTTGCATTCGCAATAACTCATTTGCCTTTTTGGGAATTTTTGCAGGAATGTGAACAAACGAAGCTTTGCCATCACACTTCCTTAGAACTTTCATTTGAAATGAGCACATCTCTTGTATCTTAGAAAGCAGTTAAGATTAGGTTCTTTTTCTGCAAAACCAACATCTCGCCAATTTTCATACTACAAAGTCTCTAATCCGGACGTCCATTATCCGGAATGATCTATAATCCGAAACTCAAAACCACAAACTTATGCGTGCGCGTCCGCTACGCATGCGCGTAAAGCCAGTAAAGCGTTTACCCATGCGTGTTTCCGATAGTGAAGAAAGTAACAGAGAACGTTATTGAAAATGAAAACAGGGCGAGGGACAGGAGAGAAGGGGACGAAAGGAAGAGAAGGGGGAGACCGGGAGAGCAGAAGGGCGGGGGAGGCAGAAAAGGAGGGGGCAGAGGGGAAGGGCGATTAATTTCTGCATGACATCTTACCAGATTTAAAGTGATGATCTGTAATCCGGAATCGCCGAAGTCCCGATGAGTCCGGATTATGGACTTTGTACTGTAGTAGCTATTGCAGTATAAACTACTAGTAGCTATTGCAGTATTATTTCTTTAAAAGAAACCTACATTCCAGCAAGGTTAGGCTATTTGAACATCACAAAGCCATGAAGGCTATCTGCATAAGAGGAGGGATACCTTTGTAGAGGACTTTCTAAGGGAAACTGGCTCATATTCACACTACATATGGGGAAAACCAACCAAACATCCAGCACATTTGCCAGGGATCGAATTCAAGCCAGGGCGAACTACCAGTATTTTGCGGTCTTAACTACTTAGTCACTGGTCATTCCAATAAGAATGCATAGTAATATTCATTTCACAATATCTAATGATATCTTCATTTCTACTTTTGTATATCTTGAATATGGCCTTTCGTATTGCTTACAACCTCAAGTTTTTTTATCAGTAGTTCCGAAGTTATACAAAAAAGTCAGTTTGTCATTTCTTTGATATGTGATTTGAAACAGATACATTAGTTTATTCTTAATTGATATGTGAGTTATACTCTTTTCATTTACAAAAGCTACGTATGCTGAAGGAGTCATGAAACTCAGAGGTGGAGGTCCAAACTGCTCAATGTCTAAATAGTCTTGTCCCTAACTTTTCTGAACTTAAAACTGCTATTAAATCATTTCATTAAAAAAAAAAAAAAAAAAAGAGGTGGATCACGAGGAAGTCATTATTGTGAAAGTAAAAGGGGTAAATGCGTTGGGCCATTAAAAGAGGATGAATATACAAAAAGTGCTTGAATTTGCCTATATCTTACACAGTATAGTAAAGCATGTTTTTAGGCAATACAATTAAATATGAACTAATGTAAAAAGCATTTTTGAAAGAAAAATAATAAAAAGGAAACGAAAAATCTAATTGATCAGACTGCCAAATATGTTAAATGTCAAAGACCAAATTGAACATTATTTATAGAAACCATAAAATGAACATCTGGGGAGAGTACCATAGAAAACACCAGTGTTAATTGCCTGAACAAAGTAAGAGTAGAATTGCAGACTGTAAGAGATTAAAGTAAGTAACCTTGTCCGGTGAGTCCAGGATGCCTGTTCTATGATCACTGGGTCCGTCTACTACTTGAACAAAAAATATTGACTAAAAAAAAAAATTTAAAAAAAAGTTATGGACAGCTGTCTTCAACTTATCAGAGAAATCCATTCTGTGGTCCTCAGTTTGATGGGTGGGTGGGTTCATTTGACTTTATTGAAATTGGACAAGGCGTCACAGAGCTTTAGGTCAATCAGAGCGCCAACGAGTGACGAAATGTATAGCACGCGCTGGCTAAAGTTCTAGGAATATTCTTCCATTATTTCACTATGCATTTGTAATTCGAAAAAATGGCACAAAACAGTATTATGGCCAAAACAAAGCAAAATATGCTGCTGTATTATGTGGAGGAAAATCCCGTTTTTAAAGAGGAAAGTTAAGGCAGGAATTTAGGGCTAAGAAATAAAGAGAGATGTCGGATACCATGAAGGCAACAGATAAAAGTAAATGAATTAAGTTTATATAAAATCTTTTTATAATTTAATGATTAAGAAATTAATCAAGTTAATAAATTTAATCATTTAACTTTTAGATGGATTAATTTGCATTTCAATCTAATTGTAAACCAAGTTTTTTTTTTTTTTTTTGTTTTCATTCTTATTACATAAAACTGCGTTTCATGCCAATTTATTTTAAGTTAAACATTAGAAAAATAGTTCTTTAAGAAATTAGAAAGAAAATATTTTTCTTGATGTTTATTCGTCATTACAAATATGGGCCGATTACTGCTGCATTCAGGAATCAACAAATGCATCAAAAGTTTTATTTGAAATTAATTTAATCCATAATGAACATGAGGAGACAAGTAATTTTCAGATTAAAAAATATTGTAAACCCAAAATTATAATAATCTATTCTGTATGTGTGATTAATTCACATTGTACTTTTTGTCATACATTTATTGAAAACTTTTTTTAACATTACATGCCTGTATTTAATTCTACCATATGTATAAAAACTGCTTATTTTAAGTATTCTTCCTTTCAAAGGATTGTATGGATGTGCAAATAATTAAAAGATAGTAATATTATTTTCACAATAAGTAAAAATAATCAACATAAGTCTCCTGCAGGTGAAGAAGTCCTTGTCAAACCAACGTTTTAACACTTTAATCGACATCTCTTTTACAATAGAAAAATAAGAACTCTGCTATAAACAGTTAATCCTTACTTTTTTTTTTTTAACATTCGCAAAGAAACAATTATTTTTTAATACTAATCGATTACGAAAGTACTATTTCATGAAGATCGCAAATTAATAACTATAAATTTTGGCAATCTGAAATATGCAATGAAAACACCTTCTGGCAGAGCAAAAGCATCAACATATTTTCTATAAATTCACCACCAATTCAGAGATCTGCGACCGTATTCGTTGTTTAAATATGAAAAAATCAGTAGTGAAAACACATATAAAGCCATTGTCTAATTAGAACGTCATCTGTACAAGCCTGATTTAAAAGCCATTGTCTAATTAGAACGTCAACTGTACAAGCCTGATTTACTATGGGGCAACAATTTTCTCCGCACTTCCGACTAGTTCCATACTCCTGGAATATGGGATGTTGAGCAGACCTCTTTTTCACTAGCAGTGACATCTAGCGGCCTACAAACTGCTGCCGACTCTCTGAGTATAGAATAGGCATCCGTTTTTTTTTTTTTTTTTTTAAATAGAGATTCTAGACTTTGAGTGCATAGCAAATGATATTATGCTTTCACTGAAGTTGTGTGTGTATTTATACCAAGCAGAGCATGAATTATTTATTCATGGAAAGGCTGGGTACATCAAATACTAGTTATCATTCTATATTCTTATTTATCATTTACTTTATTTATTTAATTATTTTATTCATGAATATATTTATTTAATAATACATCCAGTTAATAATTATGAACATACTATATTAGTCTTATTGTAACTAATAAGTAATGCTCTAATGCAGTAGATTATGTGCCTTTACAGAATCATTTGATTTTTATTATTAACATGGTTTGCTTTAAGAATATGCTGAGATTATTATTGATTAACAATTTAGTTTTATGTATGTAAAGGAAGCTTTATATTTTCTGAATAAATGTAGCTTTTTCTTAAAAATTTCAATAAGATATTAATTTTTATAATTTAGGCATATTATCGACAAGGAGTTGCTCTACAATGCCTGGGGCGTCATGCAGATTCCTTGGCAGCTTTTGCCTCCGGGTTAGCCCAGGATTCTAAAAATCTCCACCTACTTGCTGGACTTGTTGAAGCTGCAATGAAATCACCTCTAAGAGGTAAATAATAATCATAATCATAAAATCAGTGTTTAAAAATGATTAATGTGTTCAAACTCCTAGTTGGAGGAAAGGTGAATTTATGGCGAAATTTATGTCATGATTTTTGGTACATATTAAAGGAGACCACCAGATTTTTAGAATATGCCAAATTCTTGCAACCATATACATAATAATTCTTAAATTTCAAAAGCCTTTTTGCATTCATTCATTTTATGAGATTTTATAGACAGATTCATTACCTTTCTTGGGGTATATATTTTGTCTTAAACGTAGTTTTAAAGTATTAGGATTTTAACTGCAGCGGAAGAAACTGTGATAAAATTTTTGCAAGAATACAGTATTTTGTGCAAAATTGCTAAAGATAACTGTTTTGAATCTTAAGTAATTGCTATGAAATTTTTACTAGAATAAAAGAAATAAAACCCTTAACATTTTAAATTATCAATTCCATTTTTTTTTCTGTAAAATCTGGCTGTGCTTAAATACTTACATTATAATGTAAATGTGAGTTTATAAAATTTTTGTTATGAAAAAAGCTGTTGTATATATTATTGTATTTTTAAAAGATTAATAATTATTTATTTATAGTTTGTACTAGCTAGTAATTTTTTAAAAAAATTTTTTTCCCTTTCAGCTACACTTGAACCTACGTACAGACAGCTTCAAGCTATGCGTCTTGATAAATCTCCTTTTGTTATAACATCTGTTGTAGGCCAGGAACTTCTAGCTACAGGCCACCATGCAGCTGCAGTAGTTGTTTTGGAATCTGCACTTCGTATTGGCACTTGCAGCCTTAAGTTGAGAGGATCGGTTTTTTCTGCTTTAAGTTCAGCATACTGGGCATTGAATACTCTTGATCGGGCTATAGCTTATATGCAGCAAGATCTTGCAGTAGCAAAATCTTTAGGTAACTATCTTCTCTAGTATTCTTAAAGTAATTTAATTTTTTTTTCTTTTGTAAATGCACTTATCAATATATATTGAGCATCTGTTCAAACTGCGTATTATTAAACATCAAGACTATAAAAAATTTAATTTATTGTCTGACAGTTTTTGTGGTTCAGTTTTTAATTGAAAAAAGGTATCAGAATTTTTTTCATTTAATTTAAAATTTTAGAAATCTTTACGTGGATGATACTGAAAAACACATATCAGTCCAAGCTTATTTAAAGTTAGAAATCTTAGAAAAATATTTTTTACTCAAATGTTTTAAACTTTATATCAGAACTTTGATATTTTCTATTTATGCATTTCAAATTATCAAGCGATTTAACTTTTTAACTCTAGGATAAAACGTAATACAAAATAATAATTTTACATAGGTGCTAAATCTATTATCTATAGAGTAATATATATATGGTGTTATTATTTTTAAGTGTAATTTTTAAGATTAAAAATTGCACGAAGAACTTAAATAAAAATTATGATATTAAAAATATAAGATTAGTTATTTTGATATTACTAAAATTTACTTTTTCTGGGGGGGGGGGATGGATGAAAGACCTGTGAGCTTTTGCAGTATTATTACTTGGGTTTAAATATTTGAACAAATGTCAGTACTAATTTTTTCTACCACTGAGTAATGAAGTTGATTGAAAGTTTGAGGAAATTTGATATAATAAATTTAATTTATAATTAACTCACTTTGAGAAATCTGTTTTGAGTGTAGCATTAAAATTATAAGGGGTGATTAAATGAAAAGGTACAAATGTAGACTTCAAAATTACACCATAGGCTGAGCACAAACATCCCACTGATGAACAAGGCGCAGATTCCTTGTTCCAGAATTCTGTGGCCCATGACGAACCCTTCCTTCACAGCGTCCTTGAGTATGTCGTCGAGTTGAAGGCTTCCTTTTCGGTTTTCTTCAGTGGACCAAACACTGGAAATCGCAGGGCGACAGTCCGGCTGTAGGGCGGATTGGTCCAACGTCTTCCACTGAAACTTGCATTTCAATGTGTGGACTCTGGAGACGTGTGAACGCTCGTTCTCAGAACCACACCCTATCAGAACCGTTATCAGAACGTGAGCAGCCCCAGTTTTGTTTGATGGACCGCGTAGCGTCAGGTGTCTCACAGTAACATCGGAGTTAAGGTTTTTGCTCGAGGAATTCCACAGAGCAGACCTTAAACGTCGAAAAAGATGGTGAGCAACACCTTGCCTGCTGAAGCACGGATTGAACTTTTAGGGGGAAGTGACAACGCATGCTCACTGCATACTGTCCGCTTTGTCTCGGCTGTAGTGATGGCACCAGGTCTCTCACCTGTGACTTCGCTCATGAAGCGGGTCTTCCTGATACCGAACAGAAGGTGCAATGCTAGCCCCAACTCAGTTCCTTTTGTTGCGAGGTTGTGGAACACAAGGCACATAACTTTGATATCGCACCTGTCGTGAAAATTGTCCACATGCGGTGAACAATTGTCTAAGCTGACCTCCACCTGCCCGCCAACATTCAAATGTGGACGTGCGAACACTCTCAGTAGGTCATCCACCTTGTCGATGAGTGCTCGTGATGACAGTGTTTGCCCGTCCCTGGTCTCAGGTCATCCCAACTCTCCACGGCTGCACGAAAACGGACACTTCATTTTGAAAATTGTCAGAGACACATTCTACCCATAAATCCCACCAGGCAATGAATACTCGGTTTATACTCTGCGTCAGAAATCGGATTACACCTCGCTGCTCTGTCGTCGAGAATTTTGCAACGCGAACTCCATCCTGTCCTCGTATGGACTGCCGCTTTTGATAAGAGCTTCTGCTCTCTCCAGCGCATGCAGGCCACCAGAGCGTGCTCCGATCCCAATCAGAGACTCCAATCGCACCCGGATGTCCACTAGTTCTCCCAGCAGATAGCAAATATTTAACTGTTACGTTTTTATGTCGTTTCGTACCTTTTCATTTGATCACCCCTTGTATTTCATTATATTTTATGTTAAGTTGGTCTTTATCTTTCTTCTTTCTATACATATTGTTGCTTGCATACCAGTTCATAATAGACTGAATGCTCATAGAATCGATGATAGTTTGATAAAATGTATTTTACCAAAAGGAACACTTTACAGTTCTGGAACCATCCGCAAAAATAGTTGTACAGCTCTTCTCAGTATCACAGAGCACAATCAGTAGTGATACTTCAAACTACTAAAAACATTAAGCACAGCTCAAAGCAAAACGCATCTAAAATTATGCTGAACCGAGAAACTGATGCTCTCGCTGGTCTTACATAGTTTTTCTCCTGCTGCTGAGAAATCTCTAGTACCTTCCACTTTTTGAAATTACTGGGAGACATATGAAGGGCAGATAGGGTGAGAGTTACATATAGGAATCAATTACAGTATTAGTTAGTTTATACCAAAATATCGCCAAATGCTTGCCAAGTTTGGCAACTTTTGGCAATTTCTCATTAAATTTAGTGACCAAAAATTAGTCGTCAAAACCATCGCCAGCTTGGAGATATCTGATCAACTAAGCGAGATAACCATTTACTCAGTGTTAAATAGAATTGCCTCTGTATTCTTATGTTAATTTTTCCTGCAGAGCTTCATCTTTTACAAGCATTTTATGTAGCATTTTGCAAAAAATATTACAATTTCTCGGTGGCACGCGACAAAAGCCCATAGAAAAGACCCCACTGTGATAATTGCCCACACGACGAATACCCACACCGATGAAAGCGCACATTGATAAAAGCCCACATAGATATAAGAGCACGTGATAAAAGCCCAAACTGACAAAAAACACACCGAATTAATGCTACATTAAAATAATATTTTACCCCTTGGCCTCAGCTTCACAAAGCAGATTCTGAAAACTAAAAGAAAAATACATAAATAATAACAAATAATTGAACAATAAATTTAAGTAGGGAAACAATCATTTTGGGCTCCGGCTGAATAAAATCCTATAGTATATAGAACAGAGAGCGTAAAATAATAAATAATAAAACATGTAATGTAGTGTAACTTGTTTTTATATTACGTGACAATGGAAGTGCCCGTATAAGTCGACAAGGGAGGTGAAAGGGAATACTGGCCACACTGCTTCTTTTAATTCTAAAAAGTTATAAGAAGTATAAAATATATGTAAATTTTCATCATATACAGTGAATAATTTAACACAGCAAAATATTTTGCATATAATGAATATAATATGGAGAATTAAAGCCGAACTTTCATTTCAACCAAAAAAATAAAAGTACCGTATTCTGTTATGAATAAGAAAACATTTGTGTGCGCTATCACAAATACTGTTTTCGTAGTGAATTAAAAGCACGGTTTCAAATATTCTAGTTAAATTTTGACAACTAGGATTTTACATAAATTCATTCCCACTTGAAATTTCATTTTTAATCATAATAATTATTAATCGTAAAATTTTTTAGGAAGTCATTTTGGATTTCCTGAAAATGTGTGCTGTTTTTAAGTGGGCTTTTGTCAAGCAGTTTTCTAATTGGCCGCTGGCTATTCAGGTGGGAAACCATTGAGTTCCTTTTCCCCCATAACTATGCATATACTAGTAATGAATGACGAATTTATATAATATGTATACCTAGAATCTAAAAACGATGAACTTTGAATCTGATGACTCTAAATATATATTTATATAGTTACAAAATTTTTATATGAAATTTTTTTTTTTTTTTTTTTTTTGTAGTAATCTTTACTCTTAATAAAATGCTACATATTTATTACTATAGTTGAGGTAAATGTACTTAATTTGTAGATATGTTGACTTCTAAGGTTGTTCCATCCCCTCAAATAAATAAATAAATAAAATGAAAATTAAAAACACTGTTCCAAATTGCTCTAGTGAAAGATAAGAGGTTACATTGGAATCGTCAATTATAATTGTTACATCAAAAGGCTTTCATGAGAAATATGTTTAAACTAGTAATAAGCTTAGGTAAAAGAAAGAATAAAAATATCTAGTCAAGTTCCATGGCTTACTTTTTAATTCCTAACTAAAAAGGAACTAAAAGGAAAAACAAAAAATATAAAATAAAATTCAAGGTTTTAATTAAAAAGTATAGTTTTATAATGAAACATAGTTATATTAATCTAGCCATCTTAACTTAAAAAATAGAATCTGAGAAACTCCACAATGAGATTTTTCATTTTCACATACACATACCAAAGTTAACTAAGTAATAAATAATAAAATCAAATTATCACGAAATTATAGCGAATCACTAATCAGAGAGTAGAAAGTTTTCTTTAACTAATAATTAACAAATAAAGTATGATAAAATTACAAAAGACATATATTGTGAATAAAAAAATTCAATCTGTGTGGGCTTTTATCAATGTGCGCTTTCATCGCTGTGGGTATTTGTCGTGTGGGCAATTATCATAGTGGGCTTTTGTAGCGTGCATTTTCGTCCAGTGGGCTTTTGTCTGGGAACCCAGTTTCTCATATAGTTTCAATAAAATTATTTACATACATACGAAATTCGTATCAGTATTATAAATGACGCCTATAAGGCCATTGAATCTATTTTTATGATAATAATGTAAAGACATTATAATCTCATAAGAAAGTTGAACTAGTTTCTGTAATATCCTTTTTGATATTTTTTTTTTTTTTTTTAAATTATGCTGAAAGCAGTTGTTACAGAAAAGGTATAAATAAATTTCTTTTAAAAAATGTTTGATGAATTATGGTCAAGATGTTACTAATTTTATTGAATATTTCTGAAATAATTAGGTGATCAAGCTGGTGAATGTCGTGCTCATGGAAATTTAGGATCAGCTTACTTTTCAAAAGGAAATTATAAAGAAGCACTTACCAGTCACAGATATCAATTAGTACTTGCCATGAAGTGTAAAGATACGTATGCTGCAGCATCTGCTCTTACTAGTCTTGGTAGAGTATTTGAACTGTATTATAAATTGAAAAATTAGATAGTTTTTTCCCTCATTTCTTAAATATATTTTTCTCAGTACCCTAGGAAAATTTTAGGATTTTACTTATATAAAAAGACCTGTTCTGTTTTTTTAAAGGCCTTTTTATGTAATTAAAATAAACTAAAAAACTTATTATAAAATAAAAATGTATGCTATTTCAAGTTAATGACCAAAAAAATTCTATAATTAAGTACATCTGACATTTTTGTGAATTGCTAATCTTTCTGAGTACCTTACTGAAACACATAGTTTAGTTTTAAATACTCTGCAAGAAATGCACTTTGCTTTAGTACGTGGCATTTAAAATGAAATTTGGTTTGCTTAAAAGCAAGAGTTATTCACCAGGCTTTCATTTAGTAATATTCATAAACATATGTATATTCAAATATTTAAATTTGCAAATGAGGATATGTATAAGGATTAAAATTAAGTATAACCACTCTGAAATAACATGGCCTTGAGAAATTGTCAAAATCAGTTCTGGTTTACATGTCATTGTAATCTTTAATTACCTGTGCCCACCAGCGGCCGAGCGGTAAAGTCGCTGAACACTGGTAGTTCGGTCCGAGGTTCAAATCCCGCGAACGGGCTGGCTGCATGGGTGTTTTCGTGGTTTTCCCCATGTGTAACGTGTAATACGAGCCAGTTTCCCTTAGAAAGTCCTCCACGAAGGATCCCTCCTCTTAGGCAGATAGCCCTAGTGTGCTTTGCCATAATTAAATACACACATACACACTTTAATTACCTGCACAAATTAACCCCAGTTTCAGAAAATATTAAACTGTTACATGGACCAAAAAAGTGGTAATGTCTAAGAGCAATATTACTTGTATAATTTAAAATTGTGTAGCCCAATGCAGGTTTTTTTTTTTTTTTAAGGAGGAAACCTTGTTGTTATCTGAATGTGTTTCCCATTATCTATCACATTTTATGCATAGAAGGTGAAGTGTTATAAAAATAAGGAGTATCAGTAGTACCTACACTAGTGTGCAAAAATTAAGGATGAGTTAAAGAAATTAACATAAAAGCAGAAAGAGCAACAGAATGGATCAAAATACCAGTCGGAGATGGACACTGTAGTGCATGCATATACATGGTAGATAATGTAAAGGGAAGAATGCTGAAAGGGTTGTTGCACACAAGTGGTGTATGCTTTACAATTAGATAAAAGCTATTGCATGGTGTGCAGTGATTTCAACGAATTTGGTTTGCCTATGATATGGCCAACAGGCAATACTAGCGACTTCCTCGTCATGGATAACAATGCTACACCACATCATACATTAGCTGTCACAGAGCTATTGGAGAGGGAAGATATTCTGTGTAGAGATTGATCTGCAAAGTCTGCAGACCTAAACCCCATAGGAGAGATGTGGGACCTTTTCAGGAGAAGTTTGGCGGCACGTGACCAGCTGTAGGCATTGATTCTGCAGCTGAACTTGGCATTACAAGAGCAGTGGTCCACTGTACTTCAACAGCTCCTTGACAACCTGGTCCTAAGAGCAGACATAATTTCTGTAACACAGTCAGGGGTTTGAAGACTTGTTTGCTGGGTGCCTGTCACATGGACATTTCTGTCTTCTGTCTATTTGTGCTCAAAGCTATCTTCACAATAAAGTGCCTTTTTATCTTTTTTATTCCTTGTTTGCATGGATGATTATGTGCATCAGCTGTTTATTTAATAGTGCTTATTGAAGTTAAATGTGAATCTTATAATTAGTAAATACTTTTCTGATTGAAAATTTTCAATCGCAAATCACTCTCATATTGTACTCATAAAAATGTAAGCATAAGTTTTGTCGGTACTGTTCTGTTAATTGAGAGACCAGATTCAGAAATGTATGCATGTGTGTATGTATGTATGTGCATATATGTGTATATGTATATATACATGCATACATTTATACACATACATACATATATTTCTTTATCTGGTCCTGATAGCAGAACAGGGCCATTTTCTCTGTTAAATATTGAATTTTTATTGTGTAATTTTTCACAGATGTTGTCTTGAATTAGAACTGAATAATTATTTTGAATGATATCATATAGAGGGAATCTGTGATTTTCAAGTTGCATAATATTAGAAATTAAACTTTTAAATGGTGTCTTAATATCTGTTTTCTAAATAATATACTGAGTGCACAAGAAATCTTTTAGCATACCTTGCCAGTTTTAGTGTCTTGCTCAGCATATGATGAAATGGAAAGGTTTGAAGAAAAATTGCTATTCTAAATATTAAAAAAAAAATTTGTTGTCAAGTTTAAGGGAAAATGCAAAGGTTTAGTTTTAAAATTGAGCTTCATTCATAATCAAAATATGGCCTTAAAAAACCTTTTTTCTTTTTTATTTATTTTTCAAGTGGGTGTTTAGTTGATAGTATTCAGTAACCAGGAAATTACTTGCATTTATATTTACATTGTTGTATCATACCATAGCTTATGTATTTTAAAAAGGAAGACCTGTATTTGTGTCATGTGATTTCTACAATTCTGAAATTAAAAAAAATACTTCAGATGTTCAGAATTCATCCTTTAGCTAATTCATCATTGTATTTAATTATGTGTTTATTTGAAATATGTGGTTAAATTTATTATTGCATGTTTCTGTAGGTCATGTCTACACAGCAGTAGGTGACTATCCAAATGCTTTAGCCAGCCACAAGCAGTGTGTGCAGTTGGTTCGACAGGTAGGTGACAGACTTCAAGAAGCTCGTGAAATTGGCAATGTTGGGGCTGTGTATTTGGCTATGGGAGATTTTGATCAAGCTGTTGAATGTCATTTAGAACATTTGCGATTAGCAAAGCAATTAGGAAATAAAGTTGAAGAAGCCAGAGCTTACAGTAATTTAGGTTCATCTCATCATTATAGAAGAAATTTTGAACAAGCTATAACATTTCACAATCATGTTTTAAGAATAGCCCAAGAATTAGATGATAAAACAATAGAAGCTCGTGCTTATGCTGGATTAGGTCATGCTGCTAGGTGCATGGGTGACTATCCACAAGCTAAAAAGTGGCATGAGAAACAACTAGATATGGCTTTGAGTACCAAAGTGAGTTTTTATTAAGTTCTCTCTTGCTTAAAATTTTATTAATGTCATTAATATCATTAATTTTTATTCAAATGCTCATACAAATAAATTTTTTAATAGGATAAGGTATCAGAAGGACGAGCATGTTCAAACTTGGGTATTGTATACCAGCTTTTGGGAGATTTTGATGCTGCTCATAAACTTCACCAAGCTCATTTGAATATTGCTCGTGCTTTGGGTGATAAAGCTGGCATGGGCCGAGCATACGGAAACATAGGAAATGCATACAGTGCAATGGGACGGTATGAGCAAGCTATAAAGTTTCACAAGCAAGAACTTACTATATCTAAAGAAGTGAATGATAGGAGTGCTGAAGCATCCACACATGGTAATTTGGCTGTAGCATACCAAGCATTGGGCATGCACGAAATGGCACTTTTGCATTATCATAGCCATTTGAACATAGCTCAAGAATTAAAGGATACTGCAGGAGAAGCTTGTGCTTTATGTAATTTGGGAAACTGCCATAGTTCTAGAGGCGAATTTTCACAAGCTGTGCCATATTATGAAAGCTTTTTACGTTTATGTCAAGAAATAAGTGATGTAGAAGGTGAAGCAAAGGCATGCCATTTTTTAGGATATGCCCATTATTGCCTGGGTAATTACAAGGTAAGTAATCTGTGGTATTTGATATTGCCTTAAATAAATACTGTAAATTGTTCCTTTTTAAAATAATGTGTAAAATTCTATTATGTGAGGCTATTGGTTAAAATCACATTTTATATATCTTACAGTTTACCATGTAGGTTGCAGTATTTTTTCTAGCTTTATCTCACATTCAAAATTGGGTGAAAAATTTAATTCAGATTTAAAATTTAAATTTAATAAATGAAGTAGTTCTTCAGAACCTTATGCTGTATTAAAATAACAAGATTTCTTTGTAATGAGTGCATTTTAAAGTGTAGTATAATCTGATTGCCAAAGGAAAACTATTATTTTTAAATGGTACCATTAACATGTTTATATTCACTCTTATGCAACATTAATATGAAAACATTCATTTGGTAGTCATACTGAGCATGCTATCGTGGCTTCTATTCTGTTGAGGCAGGATTTAAGTGGTGGTTATAATGTGGATACTTGTAGGTTTTAGAATGTATGCAAAGATAACTGTAGTCCTGACATAGCCGGCGTTCTTCAATTTTTACTTTCTTAAGTCGTGAATTTTTGAATTTCTGAAAACTAGTTTCATTATCTTTCTCAACTTTTGTTTTTAATAAATGTTTAATTATAAAATGTTTAATTTTATAACAAATGTTAAGACTATATAAATCAAAATTTTAGAAAATATAATGTGAGATATCAAATTTCTGAATAAATTCATGAAAATCTGGTAATTTTGTGCTGTGACAGCTCCTATGTCACATTTTTGGCTAGTTCATTACGCTTCAGCAGATGTGATCATTTGCTTGGTTGTGAAATGGTAGCACAGACACATAGTAGTAACACAGTGGTGTAAACACAATAGAAACTGTCCTAAAAATTGTAATCAACATTGGGCTGTGAACAGTTTGAGTTCATCTGAGCCAGTCTAGGTTAGCAACTTTCACAGTTCTCGCAGAGCTTACTCACTTAAGAATTTTAATAAATTAATTTAGAAAGATTAAATTATTATTGATTCTAAGACAAGCTAAGCATTCAAATCTATGCTAAGCATTCACTGAAAGACAAAAGCATTGTATGGGTGCATGGCTGCAGCATTCTATTTGGAGATCTCTTAAGATTTTAACTTACTTCAACACAGTCACTATTGAAAGTGCATTTGATTATATGGATGATATTATGACACATTGTAAAACATCCTTAAACACCAGTAACTTGGACCGATGTGCTAACTGTAAAATATTTATTCTTATAAAACAAAAATGCATGGCGAATTTTAGGGTAAGAAAATCCTCCTCAAGATCCTATTAATAAAAACTTTTGAATAACCTATCAAATAACTGGACAGCTAAAAATATTTTTACAGTTTCATTCAACCATACTTATCCAGCTAGCAGTTCTCCATCACCTATTCACATGCATACATCAGGTTCTAATCTAGTATTTTTAAACGCTTAAATGGAAAACTGTTGTCTGCAACATATTGTTAGCAAAATAATAATAAAGTAAGTTCTATAACTTATTTCTTCTCTCAAAATGCAAGCTAAATTTGTTATTTTTTTAATGTTGTTATTATTAATTTTTTAAGCAAAAAATGTGGTGAAAAAATAGAATAAGAGTTTTATATTCCAAAGCAATGACAAAATTAATCAATATATTTATCATTTAATTTTATGTTCCAAAATTAGCAGATATTTAATAATTAATAGTTAATTCAATTTTTTTTTAAATGAGACAGAGAGATTTTGAAATGCTGAATTATAACGTTTAGTTTTTTGCAGGAAGCAATTCATTATTATGAACAAGACCTTGAACTGGCAAAAGATTTACAAGATCGACTGAGTATGGGTAGAGCATATTGTAATCTTGGTTTATCACATCTTGCTCTTGGAAATTTCCAAGCTGCATTGGAATGTCAAAGATATTTTCTGGCTGTTGCTCAGATGATGAAACATCTGCAGGTAAGTATTTTTATTAGTAAATCTGTGTTGGTATTTATATATTATTTCAGAGCTGGAAATACTCGTGCGTTCCCTGTTAAAGGAGCCACTGTGCTTTTTCCAAATTGGCAAACTTAATCAGATTTGTAATGGACCAGTTCATACATTGTTACAGTCAGTCAGTCACTTTTCTGAGTCATTTTAATGAGAAGCATCTATTTTCAGTTATTTATACCAGGTGATGCAAAAATAAAGTACAGTAATTCAAAAAATATAAACTTTTGTGATGCAGTTTACATAGAAATGCACAAAAAGACGTGCAAATATTTTGTAATAATGGAACATTTCATTGCCAGAATAATTACATTTTTATCTAGGTACTGTAGCAGTTCCAGATAATTTGCATTTCATGCAAATCATGTGACAAGCCTAACGAGGCTGTCATTTGTTTATGTTTGAAATTCTTAGCAGAATAGTGAATGAAGTCAGTTGGTGCGCCAACTTCAAAGTCTTTTGCCCAGTGGGACCAAAAGATTACTTACAATTTTGTGCACCAAAAGTTTTGTCCTCCTGTCCGTTGGCCAAGTTGCTTGTTTTTATGGACAAATTCTTAACTTTAATTGTAAAAAAAAATTTTTTTTTTTTTTTTTTTAAATAGTGTGTAGTGGTTTAGGTTTCTCTGTATTTTACAATTTTTAATAAAAATGTTTTGAGTTTTTAAGTGTTTTTGCATTGTCGCAAAGTGAGAACTGAATTCATTGAATGAGGAATACAACCCGAATGAAATTTGAGGAAATAAGTTTAAATGAAGTACAGCAAAAAGTACATATAATTTATTAGGCCATACAAGTCAGTAGTGTCCGCATCATCTTTTTAGAACATCTTTTCAGTTTAAAACATTTACCATTTAAGGGTCAAATTGAAGTGTAAATGCACTTAACTGTTGCATTCTAGGTGAGAAAGGACTTGTATGCAAATGTGGAAACCCATCTGTATTAGCATGGTGTGTGTTCATTGTATTATTTAGAACAGACCCCTTTTTTCTTTGAGAAAGTGAGCAACAGTACTTTTCAAACCATTTCTATCACAGTCAAGTATTATACAGAGTTTTTAAGAGAAAGCATCCTTCCTTCCTTGCAGGAGAGGCAAGTACTCCATGATGTAACATTCATGTAAATTGGAGTGCCTTTGCAGGTTCTGCCCAGCATCTGTTGCCATGTAGATTTGATGATGACCATGTCTTCCCATACAAATAAGCACCAGGCTCTCCAGACTTTACATTTTATTTATTACTTTTGGTCATAGGGCTGCTTGAAGTGATAAGTGTACAGATTATGTAGCATTATTTCCCGTACTGAAAAAAGTTATTTATTATCAAATGACAGGAATTACAGGTCATATCTGATGACCAGTCTCATAAATGAAGGTTATCACATTGAATGTTTGTAACAGTTGTGAATAATACAGATTTCTGGTATGCTGAAATATCCCCTATCAATGAAAAATATTACTTTTCTTGCACAAAAATATTATTTATTGTTAAAATAAAAATACTATGTCTTTCTGAGTCGTGTTATGAAAATTGTGTTGCACGTCTTGCATATTCATTTTGTGTCAATAAATTTTAACTTTTTTTTATTACTTTTGTATCGCCCAATGTATACATAATCATAGCTTTCTGTTTTCCTTTTTATATTTCCATCAAATGGTCATCAAACTTCACTTACAAGTTAATAATTTGCTATGAAGCTATAATTTTTGAAATGGTGGAAATAATTGTGATATTATCTTTCCTGATGCATATGTTTTGAAAATTGAAATGCTTAATCTGGATTATGTAAGCAGTATGCATATTTTTGCCTTCTCGTGCTGTAGCATTTTTCTTCCTTTATAATGTGGCAGTTTACTTGACCAAGAAGCTGTTAGCAGTATATGTTTATGGTATTATATTTTCTAAGTGATGAATGTGTCTACTGCCAGGATGTGTATATTTTTATAAGCCTTATGCTTACAGTTTACATTAAGTAGATAAAGGAAATCTAAATCCGAAACATAACAGAAAAATCCGAAATTAAACATTGTTTAATCATTGATTTTTTTTTTTTTTTTTTTTTAAATAGAAATGGCCAGTTTCATTTATTCTTCATACTTTGAAGCCCAGTGTACAAAGTATGAAGCAATTGTAGACTAAACAATGATTTGCTTTACTTAAGAATGAAACTCGGGTAGTAAAAATTTTTTCATGCCAAATTAATAGTAAACTTTAACTACATTGCAGTTAAACAGGGCTAAATGTATAAGGAATATATCATTTTAAATATAATTTCCTTAAAATGTGCGTTTTTTAAATTTTAACCCTTATACATAACAAAAATGAATGTTAGTTTTAGAAGTACTCGTAGAGAAACAAATTTCTCAAAATTATTTCTCAGTATGGTTTTTATTTTCAAAAAGTCATGAAAAATGGTTATAAAGTGATTAAAAGTATGAAAATATATACACGCTATGAAGATTACATAAATAATAATAATAATTTTTATGAATTTCAGTCTATAGAAAAGGTCATTAAAAATTGCCATATGGCTTCTTTGTCCTAAATTGTTATATTGTATAAAAAGATATACTTGTTATATATTGTATTTAAAAAAGTGAACTTTTTTTAATGTGTTAACATTACCAAGTGAATAATTTATAATGCTTATTTTTTTTCATTCATGAAAATGACAAACAACTTTATATAACTTATTATATGCATTATTAACAGAAATATTTATCTGTCTTTTCAAAGGGAAAGTTTCGTGCTCTTGGCAACTTGGGTGATGTTTTAATGAAAATGAAAGATCCCAACCAGGCAGTTAAGGTATATCAGAAACAACTTATTCTTGCAAAACAAAGTGGAGATCGAACTTTAGAAGCTGTTGCATATGGTGCGCTTGGACTTTGCCATAGACAGATGCAGTGTTTTGATAAAGCACTGGGATACCATACCCAAGTAAGCCAATCAACTATTTGTATTTTCGTTATTATAGTATAATTCAAAATTTCAGATTCAAGTATCTTTAAGAAAATTATCTAAGAAAATGTTATTAGTTGTTTCACTTCTTTAAAAAATGTGCTAAGTAATGTAGCCGAAAAATATAAAAAATTAATAATATGAATAGAAATCTTAGTATTAAAAAATAAAACTTATGAATAAAAACAAATAATGAAATGAATCTCTGAATGATATGTAAATGAGTATGAAATATTTATTTTATTTAAGCTGTACTTTTTTAATATAAAAAATACCTACTTAAAAAAATGTTTTTTTGCTGCTTTATTGGTATCGGATTACAAGAAGGAATGGGGAATTCTTATCAAGTTTTAGGTAATGAGAATGTTCTTCTGCCTTTTATTATAATTGATATTATTGCAATAAATAGCTATTACAGATTTTTATAACTGAAATGTACATTTGAAACAGTATTTCTCTTCCTTTAGCTTAAAAACTTTATTTTAAAAGTACATTTTTTGCCATAAAATAAAAATTTTCACACTTAAAAAGAGTTGTCATAATCAAACAAAATTTTGCATATGTAAGTGCAATACTGTTAAGCTAAAGGATAATTTATTTCAGGAAAAACTGAATAAATTGTGGTTCTGGTATCCTGTTGGGCCACCTTTAGCATATATATGTATAATGCAACACAAATGGACATTGAATTATAAAAGTTCTGTATGGCATCCTGCATTGTCTTATTCCACAATTGCTGTTAACACAGCTTTTTTTCGAACAAAATTGTAGGCTGTGCAACTTATTATACCGAGTGAACCGAGATATGCATGGTTAGAGATAAATCTCAGGCAGGCCAGGAAAGAGTGGTAATAAGGCAAAGGCAATCCTGTGACACCCTTACTATGTATGGCCAAACATTAACCTGTTTAAAAATGCCTCTTGGGAGTCTTGCCATGAGTGGACAACACATTGGCTGAAGGATGTCATAAATGAACTGCTGTGTAGCACCTGATATCATCTTGTACTATCACAATAGCTGTGGGAGCAGTGTGCCACTGTAAAATGAAGGTAGAATTGAGCCATTCACTATTGGTCCTCCACATCCATGCATTGTTATTCTCTGCTGAAACTGAATCATGGTTCATCACTAAAGATGACCGAGTTCCGTTTGATTTTGGTTCAGTCCCATCAAGTACTGCACCACTGTGAACAGAAGTCATGGTGAGTGGATGTTATAAGCTGCACACATAATAGACCCTGCAATACCAAATAATCTTCAGCCAGGTGACTCGCAATGATGCAGACAAACCTCGGGGACGATGATGCAGTTGACACCGTGTGTGCAGAGAGCCTGGCCACTGTGTATGTGACCTTTCTCTCATCCACTGATGGCAGTAAAATCAGAAAAACCCAAGTAGCCAGCTACTTAGCTGAGCTGTGAGCTGACCCTTTCCCCAGTTTCCATCATCCCAAGGATTTTTCTCCGCTTGAACTCTTGAGAACTAATCATATTGTCTTTGATGCAGTGTAATGGCATTCATATAAAAATAAATCCCTCTGCAACAGATTAAACAAAAATACTTCTGCATACCTTTTTTATATGCCAAGGAGAAAGAAGTTCAGCACTGTCTGGTGGCATTACATAATATTCAATTATGCTTATTTCTGATCATTTCCATTTTTTGCCTGTTACACACTTTCATACCAAGTTTCATTAGGATCCAATAGTTACTTCTTGTTAACAAAATTTTGGGTAATGAATATATTGTCCTTATTCTGTTGTTTTAGTACGTTTCTTCTGTTGAACAGTACAGTAATTTTAAAAGCTCATTATTTTAATTTGCTATTTATAGCTCTCTCTTTATAATTCTGTATTCAGAGACCTTAACTTGCCAATTTGTTTCAAATCAAAACATCTTCAGACAACTCTTTGAGCAACAGGCATTTTTTTATCTCCTTATGAACTGTATTTGTTTCTTATTTATTAGCTAGATTTATAAAATTATTTGCTTTGGTCTCATGAATTACCTTTCATTAGTATGAGATTTTAAGTCATTCTCAAGGATATAAATCAAAATATTTTAAAGAACAAGGTAATATATACAAAGTGGCAGCAAATATCACGATCAGGTATGAACAGTTAAGTGGCTCAGAATTCAAAAGGATTAGCACAGTGTGAAAATCTCTTGTGGTCTGTAATATTTTACAGAAGTTAAGATTATTATTCTTGTATTTTTCCCAAAATGAGGATGGATGGATAGGTATTTTATTATGGCAGAATATTCAATACGTATCTGCCCAAGAGCTAAAATCCTTATGAAAGACTTTTCAGGGAAAACTGGCTTTTATTTCCATTTATTTTGAATTTATTTCACACTTATTTAACTAGCTATGATGACTGAAGGAATTACATCAATCACTATATGTATCAAGTAATGATCATCATTTTAAGTCGTAATCACTAAAGATATATTGCATAATAATGAGAACTTTTCCACTTTTTTGCATTTTCAGAGTACTTCATCCAGAACTGAAAAGCAGTTACAGTGAAGTCTTCTAAGATGTCCATATTTCTATAATTTTGGCCTTTGTTGAAGTTTTCCCATTGTCTTGATGTTGCACTATGTTTAAGATTTTCAGATGCTTCAGATAAGAGAAATTATGCCCTGAATCTTTTTTTTTTTTTTTTTTTCCCTAGGTGTGAAATATAATTTCAAAACACACATGTGCTAGAGTTTCAGAATTCGTCATTAAAGCCTTAAAATTCGCTCTGAAGCATATTTTAAATTTCAGTATTCATTTTATGTGTATTGATATCCATTGTTGGTCTGTATTTCTGTATAATCTACTTTCATAAACATTTTATTTCTCATTTACATATAATCAATGCTATTTATTTATTAATTTAAAATTTCATTTTATAGGAATTAACCCTTCGGCAAGAATTGAGCGATGTCCGAGGAGAGTGTAAAGCTCATGGGCATTTAGGAGCTGTACATATTTCTTTAGGAAATTATACAAATGCCATGAAGTGCTATGAAGAGCAATTAGAACGTGCCAAAGAATTGCGTGATTGTGCCTTAGAAACACAGGCTCTTGGGAATTTAGGTATATCCAGATTGAATATGGGACATTTTGAAGATGCAATAGGTTACTTTGAACAACAGCTGGCCCTTTTAGAGCAGGTACATTTAATCATATTAGTTTATATTGAAAAATGTTTTTAAATAACAGATTTTCAGAAATTTTTAAAACCCATATATATTTAGTCTGATGATTTAACAAGTTGAATTCTGTTACTTTTCAGCTTGGAAATAATAATGCCCTTATTGACAAAGGAAGAGCCTATGGAAACCTTGGTGATTGTTATGATGCTCTTGGAGATTTTGAAGAGTCCGTTAAATGTCATGAACAGTATCTAGCAATTGCTTTGAAAGGTCAATCATTGAGAGATCAGGAAAGAGCATATAGAGGCCTTGGTAATTCTCATCGATGTATAGGCAACTTACAGCAAGCTTTGGTATGTGTATTTTGATACATTTATTACTTTCTTGCAATCAATATCATCTATATTTCTTCTTTTAATATAGTTTGTGCTTAATAACTTAGTAAGAATTAAGATCAGTTGATAAGGTAAAATATTTTTTGGAAATTGATGCTTATACTAATTTTTGGTACTTACGTATTATCCCGTCGACTGTGAAACTGTTGCCAATCAGCATGACTTAATGCCAGTTTATGGATAAACTTGATGCAAACCCGATCGATTCTTGATAATCCATATTTTGTTTTTATGAACAAGAATATAAATTAACTGCTTTTACTGCATTTTTTCTTGCATTCTGAAAAAAATTATTAATATTAGGGACCTGCTTTCTACAGAACAGTGAGCATTTTCAAAGTTATGGTATTTTACCACGAAAAAAGTGTGCATTATTGGGCATGTTGCTCAGCTGAATAGGCTGACTAAAAAGATACAGGTAGAAGCTAGGCCGGCACCTCTGTTGTACAACAGATAACTGAGGTATTGCTGAACCTAGCTAACTGTTAGTAATATATACAGTAAGAGATTGGAATTTGGCATGTTTCTAATCATAGCATTCTAAACAAGAGATTCTGGTAAAATTGGAGGGCCTAGCAAAAGAATAGAAATTGGCAAATGTCTTTTTTTGAAGTGCAGAAATGAAGTGCTTTGAATGCTGATTGTTTATTCAGTAAAATGTGCCTCAGTTCCTTCAGAGTTTTTCAGGAACAAGTGTCACAATCATGGCAGGATCTCTGCCAGCTTGACTGCTATGAACTATGAAAGCATGGTTTGATAATAGCCAACTTTCACAGTCCACACTTTCTTCTGAGTAGCAAATTGATTTTAATCATTTAGTTATTTTGTTTCAATAAATTAAAATATTTATGTGGAGGTGTTTTTTAAAGTACCATGTTACATGAAATGTATGAAACTATAACTAATCTATTTTACTTAGTATTGATCTTTCTTTTTGTGTATTATTTTTATACAAATTGTGTACAAGAAATAATACCCAACATTGAAAATGCAACACCAAGAAAAGGAACTGCTATAAAGTGATGAAGCTTGGCAAGCAAAGAAATCTCTTTTTGTTTATAATGAACAATAAGTGATCTGTATTTTGAAATAATATACATAATACAGAGCGAGAACAGCATCGGTTCAGTAGGTTATAGGACCATCTTGGACGGCGATACACGAAACAATACTTCTAGGTGTCGATGAGACTATGGATGGTGTCTTGAGGAATGGCCCTTGATTCCCTGTCAGTCATTAACCACAGTTTGTCTTCTGAATGCAGCAATGGCAGGGTCTGCAAGTGGTACCCAATCACATACCAAATGTGTTCGATTGGTGAGAGATCAGGAGAGAAGGTGGCTTGGGAAGCATCTGTGCACTTTGCAGAATGAGGTAGCTGATGCAAGCGATGTTATCCTGCCAATAAAGGGCATTGGACACTTCCTGAAGGTAGGGGCTGTGGCATATCATCTACATATCATTGGACCATCATAGTGTTCACTCAATATGAACAATTTGTATTCAGTATGAACTAGAGGTAACCTGGAATCATACACAATTGTGCCCCAAACCATGATGCCGCCACATTGCTTGAGCCTGGTGCCATTGCAGATATTGGTGTCTATGATGTGGGATCAGTGGCAGGCTTCTTAATGTATGACGCAAGTGCAGGCCACTAGCCACAAATCGGTGACAAATGGTTCTAGTCAATATGTGAACATCCAAAAGGGTGTCTTGAATATGCTGCAGAATGGAGCATAAGTGGCTTGCGGATGCGTCACCGCTTGTTGGCAAATGCATCGATTCACACATGCTGTCACTCTAGCTGCACCGACACCCCTCGAACTTGCTATATTTTCGTGCTCTAACCATCATCGCCACTGTACACCCGTCCAGGTGTGTGTCAGCTGTGATTTGCCGTATGAACCAACCTGCCCTTCTAAGTCGAATCACCATGCCTCTCGTAAAAATTGTCTGTCTGCTGGAACTGCCTCTGTTGAAGATGTCCTGACATTCTCTGCTGTTACATGCGGCCTTTGAGACAAGAACAAATTTTCTACAAAGATTTCCCTAGCAGAAATAACAGCACCAAAATTGAACATTCTTTAATTTCCCTCCCTTATATCTTCTTCAACGTGCATTGAAGAGCTGCATATTTCACATAATTCACATAACTCAGTGATGTGTGTCTACCCTGAAATTTGCATAATTTTCGGGCCATTCCTTCTTGGTGTTGCATTTACAATGTCGGGTAGTGTAATAATCCAGAAATTATAATTGCTTATTCTATATTGTTTTCATTCATTTAGTTTTTCAGATTTTTATGCATAGTAGGCTTTTTAAGACACATGGTTGTAAAGCTTTGATTTTTCAAAAATTGAATTTTTCAGGTATGCTTTGAGAAAAGACTTGTTGTATCACATGAACTGGGAAATACAAGTGCAAAAGCAGCTGCATATGGAGAATTAGGTGGTATTCATAGTCAGCTAGGTAATTTTGAACAAGCCATTGCATGTCTTGAGCATCAGCTCAATTTAGCAAGAGAAATGTCTGACAGAAGTGCTGAAGCTGATGCTGCATGTGGTCTTGGTTCTGTTTATCAGCAGATGGGAGATCACCAGAGAGCTCTGAAATACCATCAAATGGATCTTGACATAGCAGAGGAGACTAACAATATGGCTGCCCAAGGACGAGCATATGGAAATTTAGGAGTTGCTCATGAATCTCTTGGAAACTTTGAGCAAGCTATTGTATATCAAGAACAGCATCTGAGTATAGCTGCTCAAATAAATGACAAAGTGGCTAAAACTCTTGCATATAGCAGTTTAGGTAAATATAAAATGAATTAATTCATTATCATCTTTAATGTTCAATTATAACAAAGTTTAATTAACATATTGATGTAGAACATTTTTCATATATTGGTAGTCCGTTTTTAAGTGGTAAATTTTATGAACTTTTAATGGGATGGTAATGATTAAATTTTCACTGCCAGATTGCATAGCAGTGATTTACCTCTTTTAACTGTTATAATAGTTCAAGTATTAGCCATGAGTATGAATGAAGCAAAATGTATTAAAATGTCATTTGCATTAATGGTACCCAGTTCTTGAAATATCAGAAATTTAAGTTTCCCAGGACTAAATAATGCTTATTATTATAAAATAAAGCATCTGTGAGTGAGTGTGAGTTCATCTTACCCTGATTAATGCTACCCAGTTCTTGAAATATATTATATTTATTGATCTGAAATTTAAGTTTCTCAGGACTAAATAATGCTTGTTATTATAAAATAAAGCATCTGTGAGTGAGTTCATCTTACCCTGAAAAGATGGACACACGTATAGCCATCAAATTTTGGAGACGTGTAGTCTAGCACCTAAACACCTAATGAATTTTTCATATTTTTACACTTCCAAAGGTAGTATTTTATCGTAAAGTATCAAATTTTATATCATCATAAACTATAGCATTTCTTTCAAATCAAGTGTATTCTGCCTTAATTTAAAAAAAGGAATTTTAGCAATTTTTTGGAAATAATTTTTAAAATGAGTTTTAAGCTGTCAATTATAAAAAAAAATAATGATTTTCGAATATATTTATTTACGCATGTGGGTGGGTGTCATCTAATACCTAAGACATTTCTACCTGTAGTAAAATTTATTTTGCTTCCCTGTTTTAAAAAAAAAAAAATTTCTTTGGGGGGGGGGTGTAACCTCCTGCTTGAAATCTTTTTTTTTTTTTTTTTTTTTTTTTTTTTTTTTTAAATTCTTTGTTTGTAAGAATGCCAATATTGCTTGCTTCTTCATTGGGAGAAATATCTGAATATGACATCATTCAAACTAAGAGGTTAAAATGGTTTCAGATTTGGTAATATTATGCTGCAATTATGTGCAAAATTGCTTCTGAACATTCTACTATATGCTGTGTTCTCTCTCTTTTTTTCTTTTTTGGTCCAATGATTTGTTCTAGCTTAAATTATATTAATTATTAATAATAATTCTGTGTTGCATCTGCCAGACTGAATGCTGGTCTTGAAAGCGGCTAATTTAAAAAAGGTTTTGGTGCAGTTTGTTTATCGAATTTCTCTGGAAGTAGGCTGTTGTATTTTCTAATTTATGTAATTCATTGTATTCTTCAACATGTGAGAAAGGCAAAGGAGACAGTATTTTAAAGAAAATCTGTTTCTAGCCATTGTTTACAAAATTATTGGGGTTTTGTTGAACAATATGGGGAAAATAATTGTGTCGTTTCTTGTATAGCTCCTTGTTACAAATTCAGGGTTCGTACGGTCCTTAAATGTCCTTAGGTTTTCTGGAAATGATTTTGATCGTTAAAAGTCCTTCATTTAGACTGAAACTGGCAAAAGGTCCTTAATTTTACTCATCTAACACATCTGTCCTTTTTTTTTTTTTTTTTTTTTTTTTTTTTTTTTTTTTTGACTGCCATTTTGAATGTGAATTAAGATTTTGAAGGAATGTTGACAAATATGTATTTGATGGGTGAATATTTGATTTCTTGCGTGTTTCTTAATATGAATGGTGGATACTAAAGTTTTAGAAGTGCAATATCTGCTTTGATTGAAACATGAATATTTCAAAGTAATTCTTTTTATGTAAATGAAAAATTCATAAACTATTACATCAAAAACAACTTTTCTCTTTTATTATGCAATGCTAGATTTGGCGACTAATCAACATTTTGTTGATTTTAAAATCAGTTTGCATACAAAATTTTTATTCGGAGATTTATAAAATTTTGATGACTTTTATAACAAACATAATAACAATAAGAAATATCATAAAAATAATAATAAATTACATATTCTAAAAAGTAAACAAGGTAATAAATGAAGCACACTTTCAGAAACACTTGTTAGAAAAAACAAAAATGTTACTTATTTATTTATTTATTTATTTATTTTAAATAATTTTCCCGTGTTTTCCTGGGTAATTCTTTAAGAATTTTTAAATGTGTATTAACTTTCTCTTGAAAATTCACTTTGCCCTTCTCTTTTTTTGCCCCCAAAAAGTCTTTTGACTTTTTGCTCTTACAGAGTTGATAGGGATAGTTTTTCTTTTGGATTTTAGACCTTGCACCTCGGAAGGTTTGAAGGGAAAGATTTATAGATTATTATGTTGAAGGTATAATTTATAGACCTACAATTTCCAGAAAAATGTGATGAAATGGAAAGTATCTTTGTGGTGTTAACACATAATGGATGTATTTTATAGGAAATTTGAAATGAATTGCTTATCTTTTGGGAAATTTTTGGAAGAAAAGTGAAAAGAAAATTATATGAATTTTCTCCCTTTGATCCCAGAAGTCTTGCCCTTTTTATCTTTATCTTTATCTTTTCTTTATTTTCTTATCTTTCTACTTGACACAAGCATCAGAACAGTCAAAAAAAAAAGCAAAGAAATTAAAAAGTGACAGTTAATTAAAAGCTTCATCATATGTGTCTCAGTGCACCATACATACCTCTGTGCTTGCCCTGAATTTTGTTGCTCGGTGCTTCACTAAATTCTAGAAGTTCTGCCACACTGGCTCTGGTGCATGTCTTGACATTACATCATTTCATATTTAATTTAGCACTCATATTACTATTAAAGAAATAAAATTAGCAGTTATTCTAAAGAACTGCTTGTACTTTCTAAGTACTGCTTGTACAAAAATCTTTAATTAAATTTGACAATTCTAAAATCAAAAGGAACTTCATTGAAAAAGATCTTAGTTTTATAAAAAGAGAGAAAATTATTCTTCAAAGAGACTTGTTGAAATATTAACAAATTATGAGATGAAGCAGAGATTAGTGGGAACATTAATTTGTTTATTGAAACAAACTTAGAAAAGATTCGAAAAATAAGAAAATCAATGTGAATTAGCTCAAATATCTGGAATATTTTCAAGAAGATGCATAAACATTTTGTTGTTTGCTACAAAACATAAATTTTTTGTAGCTTTTAATGTTATATCATTTTTTAATCATAATCATTATTTTAGGATCATTATCACGCAGAAAAATGTTTTTAGTACTTTTCTAATGGTTATTTTTTTAAGAAATTAGAAAAAAATTTAACCATGTAAGTCTATTATGACTAAGAATGTCTAACTACATAATTTAATTATCTGTTATAACTAACTGCTCACTCTTAGAACATATCTCTACATGCTAAAGGGAGTTATCTCTTTCTTTAATCATTATTGTGCATGCAAGATACAATACTAAAATGTCGAAAAATATTCCCTAACGGTTAATGAGACTTCATACATATAACCTCTCATGCAGTGGCTTATTGGAACTTTATATTAAATTGGTTACAACTTCAGCAAAGCTACACAAAGCTTTAATACTAACTATGTCAAAGTGCAACTAACTTTTCAACACTTACCAATGTCAAGCTTTAACATCTGTTATGATTAGTGCCTTTGTGGTCTATGTGTGTCTGTTAAGGTGCATTCAGACGTGGGTGTAAAGCGCATAGAGGCATAGTCATAAGGGCATAAAATACGGGAGACCCGTTCACACCTGCGAGAATGAGGTGTATGTCATGGCCAATGAGAGAAGCTAAATTTGCGCATGCGTGGAATGTCTACAACTTTCCCACACTGTTCTCCCACTCGATTGATTTCCCGCGTTCGCTCTGCTTGTTTTTTTCGTTGTGTCATGGCTTTTTCAGCTCGCCACAAAGTTTTACTGGCTCAAAAGAATGATCTTTTATCTGCCCTTCTCATTAGCCAAGAGGCAGCGGAAGAAGGTAAAAAACGAAAAAGAACGAAATGGTTCAAGAGATATTTTTTTGGAAAGACCAATACTTGGTTGGCACATATCTTTCTGTACAAAGCAGTATGGAATATTTCTGCATTGTACTGTAGTATTCTTTATGCTGTAAACATGCACATGCATATTTATATACTATATTAAACCTTCTTCAATTTTTATATGTAATTTCTCTTAGGAGAAATATGATATTCTAAATATGCCTAATTAAAAAAAAATCTTGAGGATAACTAACAGATAGCCTGTATATATATATTTTCCATTTGCAGGTGTGGAAGCAGTTAAGCTAAAAACAGTACTTACCATGCATTATTATTATATGTTTTTTTTTTTTTTTTTTTTTTTTTTTTTTAAATTTTCAATCAAAAGGAACATGTTTCTGTGACAGTGAAACGTGTGCTTAGCACTCTTTATTCACTGTCCCTGTCAATCACTATAGTAGTTTGCTGCACTACCAGTATCAATTATCACTAGTACTAGTATCCCACAACTGTTCACAATGATCAGCAAACACAACTAGTACAATACTAGGAAACGTTCACCCAACAATGTATTTTATGCTCAATCATTAAATACATTTTGCTGTTTTGCCAGCTGCTTGTATACATCTATTTTTAATAATTAGCATGTATAAGCCGCACCCCTGAATTTAATTTCAAGATATGCTGTCATTTCTATTTACGACCAAAATCTCAAAAGTAATTTCACATTGACAAATTTTAGGTACCCAAGTCTTCAAATACAATCAAAATTATAAACATTCATACCTTATCCAGGAATTTCTACCAGAGAAATAGCATGAATTTAATGATCAAAACTCCATTCAAATGATAGTAATAAAGAGTGGATAATAATAACAAATACTATTCATTAAATTATAGTCCATGTTATGAATTATGTGTGCTATTTAGTTTCATTAAAAGTAAATTCCTTTCATGGAGAATAAAATCAGAACAGACAAAACTGGACTTCAACAGGAGACAAAACTGTCTAGACTGTTGTTTTAAGGATATTTCACTACATTTTTTCTTTCTTGGAATTCATAAGAGCATTTTTCTCAAAAGATTAATCTTTTATTACTTATACAAAGCTTACACCATTGAATTGACTATTGTGACTATTCTTAAATAAGTGAAAATAATGTTTTCTTTTTTTTTAAAAGTAATATTATTACTGTTAAAAAAAAACAGCAGATTCTTGATATCGATTTGATGTTTTAGTAAAATTAATTCATGAAGTTTGTTTGGAAAGAAAATCAGCATTTGAAGTAAATACCAATACAATATTTCCAGCTTTTTTAATAAATTTATTCTTAAATACAAAAATAATTAAACAGAAAAAAAATTACAGTAATAATTTTTAAAAAAATATAGACAGAAAGAAAGTAATAATAATAATTTACACAGAAAAAATATAATTTTTGCAAGCATGCATTTTTTAAAGAATTTTCATAATAAAATGAAAAATATTGGATCAGATCAATCATCTACAGGATCATACACAGCGTGCATAATCCTGAGCTTAACTTTCGCTTTATGAGTTTCTTCCATATTTTTCAATATAAATTGAAAAACTCATTAAAAAGTGCATGTCATCTTTGTAGATTTCTCTCTCTTTATTTCATTCGGATACGATTACAACTCATTATTTTGTTCGGATACGATGTGTTCCATATATAAAAAAAAGTCGCCTTCGATGTGACAGCAAAATCGTCTAAAGAAAGCCGCTTCGTTTTAGCTTCGCTCTGATTGGTCGACGCTTATCCCAAACTCGGCGTAAAGTTGAAAATTTGGAACCCTATGCCACGAGCCCTAAACCAGATTCTGTGACGTAGCAGTGACTGGTTGCCTTGGCAACGGACCTCGGCTTTAACCACTTATGCCCTTTGTTTACGCCCTCGTCTGAATGGGGCCTTATGAGTCGTTCTGATTATTATTTTACTTCAGGGTTTAACTTATTCCACTGACATACAATTCGCTTATACCTTTGGACTGGGCGAGTACTTGATGAAATGATTCATAAAAGAAAGAACCAGTATAAGCTAACTGTTAATACAATTTCAATAAAAAGCCACTAATCTTCTCTAAAATATGTGGTACTATTATTTGTCTAAAATATAAATGTTTCACGAAATTTTATAATTGAGTGCTGAAAAAACTTATGAAGGTCTTATTATTCTTGAATTTGTTTTATGATTAAGTTAAATATTAGACTATGTTTAATAATAATGTTAGGTGTAGATAATTGCTTTAGTTTATTCAGTTCCTATTTGCTTAACAAGTATTTTTTTTTTTTTTTTTTTTTTTTTTTTCATTCCTGCTTTTTAAAGTACTTAATTTCCTTGTACAGAAGTGTGTACAAACCTTGAAATTGCGAATTGCGTGAAAAGTCTTTAATTTTTTGTAACAAAATACAGATGTAATGAAAGAACATAAATTACTGAGTGACACATATTTATGTCTTTTATTATTTTTTATTTGCATGTTTTTAGTAATCTTGATTAAAATATATATTAGTTTCCTTTGAAATAATTCAAAATATATCATCATGTATAAATAATGAAGGTAACTGCTGTCTGTGCTAGGATAATTTTCAGAGAAATGTTTCACACAAGATCTTATGCAAAAGTAGCATTAGTTCTTGGAACATTATTTTCTCATCAGTGCGTATTAATATTCCAAGCAACAAGGCTGGCTGCATGGTTTTTCCTTATGTGCAGCATAGGTACGAACCATTTTCCCCGAGAAAGTAATTCACAAAGGCATCCCTCCCATTAAGTATCATACCTAGTGTGCTTTGTCATAATCAAGTAAACCAAACCAGTGCTTATTAATGCTGTGCCTACATCTGAATCTCTATATGATGAAATTTGCCACTTATGCAGCGTTCTTGTTAGACCAAAATCTCTCTCTTCTATGGATATGCCTTCGTGTTTACAACAATATCTTTGTGGCAAATGTGATTCTTTTCATTTATTCTTTCATCTTCAGTCTTTCTGAATATGTGTTTGTTTGAGAGGATAAGATATCATCCTATTAAGTCACTTCATATATTTATTATAAGTATTATAATCTTAATGTTTAAAGTAATATTTTTGTGTTAATTTCCCCCCTTTCTTTCTTTCTTTTTTTTCCCCCTTAATTTAAGAAGAATAACACTTTAATGTGTTCTATGTCTATATGTTGTTTGAAAGATTAAATGAAATCTACCCACAAAAAAAAGTAAGAATCTGTATGAAATTAACTAATTCTTATCACTAAATTTCATCCTTTTTTTAAATTAATCTTATTAAATGTTGCATTCTGCGACTTTAAAATTACCTTTCACTTTACAGGAAAAAACATATACTGTCTTGAGATCAGGTGTTAAGCCCCTTAAAAGAAAACAAATTAACTTGAGATTTAGTGTTAAGTGTTAAATGTATTCATAATCGCAACTCTTCATTTATTTTAAGAACTAATTTCCACACTGTGAAAATGGATTTTTGAGCATCAAATTTAATGTTGCATTATTTTAAAAATTAAAAAATTCAGATATCTGTAAAATCCTTCAAAATATTAATATTTTCTAAATATGTCCTATTAATTGAAATTAAAGTAAAATAACTAAACATGTTTATTTATCTGTCTAATAAAAATGGAACGTAATGTAAATTGTCTGTATTGAACAGATTATCTATTAAAATAATCAAAATATGAAGCAGATTAACTGCCTCAAATGGCAAACATAGGAAAGTATTTTTTAAAATGCATTAAGGTTTTTCACCAGAAATTCATGGCAAATTAAGACTAAACTTTGTCAATTTTTAAAATAAAAATGTGGAGGAAAATGAGGCCAGTATGAATTTTTATGTATTAACAAAAGTTTTGCTTCAAGTTAATAGTTTCATAATATCCCAAATTAATCATGTTGAATGTTATTTTTATATATTTTGTGTATTATCTATTATTAAAGAAATAACATTATTGATATTCAAGCAATCTATAAAAATTTGTTTTATTGTAATACTTTCAGTTTTAAATTTGTTCCTTTTTGTTTTAAATTTCAGGAAGAGTTCATCATGCTTTAGGTAATACTCCTCAAGCAGTTGCATACTTGCAACAAGGTTTGTTGATAGCAGAACAACTTGGTAGGAGAGAAGATGAAGCAAGAATTCGTCATAGACTTGGACTGGCTCTGTGGGGCAATGATGATCTGGAAGGTGCTCAGCAGCAGCTTTACAGGGCAACAGACTTATTTGAAAGTATTAGGCGAGAAGCACGAGGAACGAGTGATTACAAATTATCACTCTTTGATCTTCAGACTGCTTCATACCAAGCCTTACAGGTTTGTTTTTAACATTTTTTAAACATTTGATGTCAGAATACCACAGGAAATATTTGTAAATGTGAAAACTCTGAGAATGTTATTCTTAGAGTGAGTGTCAAGGATATTTATTATTTAAATGCTTAAATAATGAATAAATGTATGATACTCTTAGTCATTTTAAACATCATTATAGTATATTTTGGTTGTTAAAGAAACTATTAATAACAATAATTTTAAGGAATTTGTAGTATTTTATTATAATGAATGTAAAACTATGTGAATATCAATAATGCATAAATTATTTTCATAGAAATATTCTTTTATAGAGAGTACTTGTTGGCTTGGGACGCTATCAGGAAGCTTTAGTTGTGGCAGAAAGAGGTAGAACACGAGCATTTGTTGATTTACTTTTAGAAAGGCAAACAAGTACAGCTCAAAGTGTGCTTAATTTTAACCCAGCAAATGTTGAACAAATCTATGATATAGTCAGTCGACAGAAAGCTACTGTGTTGTACTACAGCATAGCGGCTGGATACTTATATACATGGTTGGTTGTGCCAAATAAAGGTATGATATTTTTTAATAATTTGAATATGTATGCAATTCGTTTCACAGACCATTTCCTTATTTTTATATATTTATAGAAAAAGTTATTTAAAATATCATTTTAAAAATTATTTAATTTTCCCTGATCCCTATTTTAAAGTAGGTTGTCCTATGTGATTACATCAAAGGTGTCACATTTGTACTATCAGGTGAATGTAGCAATACTGTACATAAATGAGTATTGTATAGTTTTATTAATGCTCGTAAAATGCAGTTTTGTAATCATTTAAAATTACTACATAGGTGATATGCATGGAATCTTAAGTACATCTGTTTCCATAAAGAAATTTTAGCTCATCTGTGAAACACGACATAGTTAACAGCATCCAGTTTTGGGTTTAGCAAAAATATTTAGCTATATAGATATTTTTATGATTTTAGCTGTAAGCATTTATCTTTCAACCTTCATAAAGGTACTCAAATTCTTTACTATAATGATATCTGTATTTAAAAAATCTTGAAAGTATAATGAATACAGTACAAAGTCCGTAATCCAGACTCGTCGGGACTTCGGCGATTCCGGATTAGGGGTTTTTCCGGATTATAGATCATCAGTTTAAATCTGGTAAGATGGCATGTGGAAACTATACAATTAAGAATATGAAACCGTAATTTCTGAAATAAAGAGCAATTATGATCTAAAGGGTATCAAAATTTACAAAAAAAAAAAAAAAAATGCTTAATATTTATTTTTTTACTTTATTAAATATTTCTTTCAATGTAAGTTGTTTAAGTTGCTTCGTTTTTTGTGCTAATACTTTCTCTTTAATTCTCTCTTCTATAAACAAACATGATTTCTTGTTCAGTTACAAAGTTCCACTGTTCAAATCCTGTAATTGCTGTGTCAAGAATACCGACTAACTTGTCAATCAAAATTGTTTCATTTTCAATAACTTCTGTGTCACTTTCTTCACTATCGGAAGTGCTCATGTGTAAACGCTTTACTGGCTTTACGCACATGCGCAAGTTTGTCCGGATAATGGACGTCCAGATTACGGACATTGTACTGTATATGTAATTTACCTGTCACACATATGTACCTCTCCAAATAACATTTTTATCAAAATCGTGGCACATCAAATGTGATTCTAAGAAAAGACTGAAACTAAAAAAAAAACAAACATATATGTAATAAATTGTCAAATGCAGTAAAGAGAAGTAGAAAAGAATATTAAAGGCAAAAGAATTAATGAGTAATTTGAAATAAATGTTGCCTTAACAAATGGGGAGCCTAAGGAAAACTATACTTCTAACATTTATTTAAATTTTTAATATTATTGTTACACTTTTTGCTGTAGTGTCATTATATTGTTTGCTTAGAGTCACTGTTATACATCATAGTTATTTGTTTATTATGTACATTTCCCATTCTTGATCATTTCTTCTGTTAGATTTTATTTAATATCTTTCCATCTTTAGTTTGCATAGTAATTCATTCTTCAATTTAGAATGTATATTTATTTTTTCATATTTGAAACTGTTCTTAAACATATCTGATTATAATGAAATCTATTGCACTTTATGAAAGAGTGTGCACTGCATTATTTAGTATACCGTGTAACTGATTCTGCATTTGCTGCAATTTTTTAACTATCTATTAATTTGGGGGAAAAAAATAGGATTTCCAAGTATTTATTGTTATTTTTAATTTTTTTGCTTGAAGGTATAGTGAAATTTCATGAAAGCAACATCAGTGATGTTGAAAATGATAATGTTGACGAAACCAATGGAGCAGTACCCTCTGCCAGCTCTTTATTAGAACAGTATATTGCCCATGTCAGAGAAGCATTGGGTGTGGATATACCATCAACACAGAATAATGGAACCCTTAGTGAAACCGAAAGTGAAGCTGGTGACTTATGGAATCAGCAGCTAGAAGAATTAGGTGATCGTTTAAATCAAGTAAGTATACCACATTTCCTTCTTTTATGAGACAAAGTTTTAAATTGTATTTTTATATTATTCGATAAAAAGGGGAAAAAATTGGATATTCATAAAATATTCATTCAGATTTTACACAATTAATTAAAAACCTTTTTAAATAAATGCAATAAAATACTTCATGAAAAATAAAATAGTGAATTATTATGAATTCAAAAATTTAATAGAAAATGGTTCCATAATATTTTTTGGTATTGAATAGTGTTGCTAGTCTCTATAAGAATTTTAATTTACAAGAGTCCATGTTATGTTGCTCACATAGTAGGTATTAACTGATCTACTCACCAGTAACTGAATAAGATCATGAAATATTAGTATTTTATTCCAGTTCCATTTCTGGCAATTAGGATTTTGAATATTTGATTATGGCTATTTTTCTATGTGGAGTGAGTGCAGTTGTCAAAGCCTTTTTGTGGTATATTGTTTTGAACTTAAGGTAACTTACAGGTTTAAAAAAATGCCTGTTCAATCAGTCTTTTTACAGTTTTTGAGCTAAGTGCCAGTATACAACAGTCTTATCCATTCAAGCACTGGATGTCACTGGCAATGGATTTTATCTTGTATGTCATGAATATGATCCAATTTCCTTCAAATGCCATTCATGGATATATCATTGTTTACACAGACAGCTCTCAAGCTCAACAAATTATCTATATGTTAACAAAGATCTACATCTCAATTTATTTTGGACACAAATCATGTTAAAACCATCATTGATGTTTTGACTGGTACCTCCAACTGATCATTTTGATGTTAATTGCTCTGTTAATTCATCTCTTCCCAGTCATTATTCAGCCATCTTAAAGTAATCAAAAATATGTTTATCTGTAATATACCAAATATAAGAGTATTTTTTACTCATGAAATCCTTTTTTTGGAAATCATGGTCATCTTAAATGCACAGCTTAACATTAAAAATACTATAAATTTTATAAAAATGCTTTATTGGAAATCATGGTCATCTTAAATGCACAGCTTAACATTAAAAATATTATAAATTTTCAATTTCTCTTCAATTTTATGTTGAAAAAAACACTTACTTATACCTGAACGTATAATATACAGTCAACTCCTGATTAAACTGAAGGTGGATAATAAAACAGTATACAAATATAATGCAAAATTTCTGTAGGTAATATAAGATGGAGAAGAAAGTGTATTGAATAGCCATGGTAGCAGATAAAGGTTCCCGTCTCCCACAACAGTAAATGATTTAACTGTGCATTAACATTATTGGAATTCATTAACATTGTTAAATCATCATTTAAAAATAAATTCTTAAATCATGAAAGTTGATCAAACCCTTAATTAATTCTTTCCATAAAAATGCAAGATTAATATAACTTTTCATTTTGTTTTGAAGTGTGTTTTTTCTTGTTTTGATTGCTGATTAAATGTATGTACGAGGGCAATCCCAAAAAAAGGTCTCCTATATTTTTAGATATACAAAGAACCGTTTATTTTCTATAATTGCTACATCACTTTAAAGATTGAAGAATGCTTTATTTTTCAACATAATCGCCATTTCGGTCGGTGCATTTTTGTAGACGCTGTGGCAATTTTACTATGCCCATGTCATACCAGCTTTCTGCCATGCCCTTCAGGAAGCATTGAATCAGCAGTTCAATCTTCAGAAGAATCAACCCGTTGCTGTTTGTGGTCTTCTGTCAGCATACGTGGCACCCATCTTGCACACACCTTCCGCTATTGCAACTTTCCCGTTAAAATCCTGTGGATGGTGCTTCTGGAAACCTGAGGAACCAAAATGCAGAGAGCATCCAGAGTGATCCTCCAATCTTTACGCATGAGTTCCTCAACTTTCGCAATTGTCTCGTCGGCAATTGATGGCCTCCCGCTCCTTTCTTCATCATGAATTTCAGTACGACCGGCTGTAAACTTTTACACCACTTGCGAACGTTTTTGACATCCATGCACGACTGTCCATACACTTCCGTCAATAGGCGGTGAATTTCAAACCGGTTTTGTGCGTTCCGAATAATTCCACTTGGCGGTAACTAATTTATTCGGGAGCTCCATTTCGAATGGCTGCCAAGCCAAGACTGAGCATCCGAGCGAAGCGCCTGCGTGCTTATGTGGTAGCGAAGAAGGCACTACTCACAACAGTGTTGCCAACAACCGTATTCTACATCCCCAAAAAATTGGAGACCTTTTTTTTTTTGGGATTGCCCTCGTACTAAATGAACTTATTCTTCAAGTTGCTTTAAAATGCAAGTAAATTATTACCCCAAAGGGGCAATTTGTCCAGAAGGGCTATGAATTTTGTTTAGGCATTTTGCATTGGTTTTCTATAAACAGCATTTCTCTTTTCAAATTGTTGCCACCAAATATTAGAGCCCTGTATAATATTTAAAGAAATCAAATAATGAAGAATCTGCATAGACCTGCATAATGAAGACCTAGAGACATCAAATTGTGAATAACATAGTCCTCCAGTCGAATATGGGTCTTTGGAAACCCAAATTTGGAATTTGTTTTATTATCTATTTCATATTTTTTCAGACATTAAAAAAATTTTGATTAAGGAACTGAACTATTTTAAAGTGATGAATGGCAACACTGTACAGGGGAGGGGACACTTTTATCTTCAGCATGCGAGACTTTGTATCATGCTGTTTTTTAAATATTTTGTGATATTGCTGTTGAATTGAATTTATGGTTTAAGTGGGAAGAACATGATATTTCATAAATAAATGCAGCAAAAAAAAAAAAAAAAAATGTTAAAAAACACCCCTTTGTGCATTATATAAAATCTAGGTTTTTAAAAGTGTTTATTTGGAATTCTGAAAATAAGTGCACACGTACTAGTTTTGACATTTTAGCAAACCCTTGTTATAAAACTCCTTAATAAAACTTGTTTTATTTAATTTCCTTTATTTGTTTAAAATAATCCTTATAAGATTTTATTTCATGATAAAAAATAGTCATTACAGAAACTGAAATAAATAAACTCTATCAATATTTATACAAATCGTGAGATTTTTTTCAGATTTCATACGTATGTTTTTATGAGCCATTGTTAGTATTATTATTTGGGAAGAAAAAAAAAAAATTCTTTTGAATTTGTATTTTTTGATAAATTTAACTCTATTGTGCTGCAGAATTATGCTAGTTTTTGCCAACCAAAATCCCATGTAAGTATCAGGACTTGGTTTTTTATAAACAGGAAGAACTTTACTTAAGACTTCAGTGTAGCTAATTTTCACATCATCTATTTCCTTTTCATCATAATTTTCATCACTGTAATATTCATTCTTTTTCAGAACCACAGTGGGTATGATTTGTTTTGTGACTTTAAGCTTAAAAGTTTAACTTAAAAGTTAACACTACTGTGTTTACATCCAACACATGTAAAACATATCTTTTATCATGATGCGATATAAAAAGGTCATTCATTAAATAGCCCAACACTGATATGAAAGATCAAGAGATATTCTTTTTGAGAAGATAATTTATGAATGTTGCTGTTTTCGTTGTACTCTTTCTAATATTACTACATTTTTTAAATGATTTTGTTTCCGAATGTAGATAATCAATGAATGTTGCTGGTTTTTTTTTTTTTTTTTTTTTTTTTTTTTTTTTTACTCTTTCTAATGTTATTACATTTTCCAAATGATTTGTTTAAATTGAATGTTGACTTGTTTAGTAGACGTTCTACTCTAATTAATATTTACATTCAGAAACCTCAATCATACTAAGCTGACATGTGGTAAAGGCATTTTACATGCAAGCTTTTTCTTTCTTGTAAAAAACTTTAAAAATGATATTTAGTTTCCTTAAATAAGTGTTTTTCTTAATTGGGAATTTTTCTAAAAATCTGCCTTTGCAAAAATGACTTAAAATATCAATTTAAAATGTTCAATATAAAAATATATATGTTTATTGATTTAAAAGAATTCAGTTTAAACAAATCAGTAAAAATTAAGTCCATATTATTATTTCAAATATAATTTTTACTGATTATTAAATTGATTCTGCATTCATGAGTGTTACAGAATTCCCTTCAGAACTTTCGGTAAGTAAAATGTTTGATAGTCTTCACGAAGACTAGAAAATTTAGTTTCATGTTGCAATATATTCATAAACAGAATATTCACATAAGAACCACATACATATTATTGTTTTATAATCATGTAGTTAATTAAAAGCAAAAAAAAAAATGTTTTATTAAAAGGTCTCATTTTTACACTATCTAATAGAACTGTGCTATTGAACATGAATGTGTATTAATATGTATGCATGAATGGATGTTATTTACTATGATTACTATTGGCATTTGAATTGTTTGAAATTCCAGTCTGTAGTAAGATGGCAATTTGCCTTGCTGCTCTGCTATTTTTTTTTTTTTTTTTTTTTTTTTTTTGTTTGTTTGGAAGAGGGGATAAAGCTTTTATTTAAAGAGAATACAAATATGTACATGAAATTAATGAAGAGTGGTTGTTATCTTATTTCCTCCCCCCCCCAAATATATATTCTATATGTTTTACAGTTATTCTTAGTAATAGGTGAATATATTCGTGAAACTTTTTTTTCTGTTAAAGTTAAGCTAATACAAAATCAGAATTTTGGAAGTATATTTTAATGATTATGCTTATATAGCTTAATAAACATTTTTTTTCTTTTTCTATACAGGAAAATGATCGTACTGGATTTTTAAGAATGGTGAACAGGAATCACCTCTTCAATAGTAGTAACTATAGCTTGAGCAGCCTTTTCAGTGTTGGAAGTCTTGGTGGAAGCATTGCAAGCGGCCTTACAAGCAGACCAGGAAGTATTAGGTCACGTAGATCTCAGTGGCAGGGCCCTGCTCCCCTTCATGCTTTATATGATCTCCTGATAGCTCCCGTTGAAGAGCATTTACCTCGGGATCCAGATTTACAAGAATTGTTGCTCGTTCTTGATGGTGATCTTTATTTAGTTCCTTTTGCAATTTTGAAAAATAGCAACTGTGATGAATATCTTTGTGAAAGGTTTAGCTTGACTGTTCTACCTTCAATAAGTGCCTTAAAAGCGAGCCAGCGATCAAAAATTATAAGACAAAATAACAGCAAAGATATATCTTCTGCTTTGGTTGTAGGAAATCCCAAAATTCCAGCCATTGTATCTGAACAGTGGGGTTGGAATGATATACCTCAGGCTGAACAGGAAGCATCTTTAGTTGCTGAGATCTTATCAACTAAAGCTATCACAGGTAGTTGTGCCACAAAAGAAAACATTTTAAACCAGTTATCTCAAGCTGAATGCATTCATTTTGCAACACACATTTCATGGAAACTATCAGCTGTTGTTTTGTCACCAGGAGAATTTATGGAATCATCTCGCCATTTTTCACATGGTTCTCAGTCAGAAACTAGCCATGAAAATAATGACTACTCTGAAGAACCCACTTCTGAACTTTCATCCACAGATTTACCACCACTTTCTGAATTTTTACTCACAGCTGCAGACATTTTAAACCTCCGATTATCAGCTCGTTTAGTAGTAATAAGTTCGTGCCATACAAGGAACCACCATGGTCGTGCTCACTCTGATGGTGTGGTTGGCTTTACAAGGGCACTTTTGGCAGCTGGTGCACAATGCGTATTAGTGTCATTGTGGCCTGTTCCTGATGCAGCTGTAAAAATTCTTTTGCGAACTTTTTACTCAGCTTTACTGCAGGTATTTGCAAATTTTCTGTCATAAATTATTATGTAAAATATTTTTCATGTCTTTCATTTCTTATGAACCTTATCTTCTCAAATATTTTTAGTCCCAAAAAACATCTTTGCTATTCTTTCCCCCCCTTTTTAAGTGATAGAAAATTAAAATGCTTTTTTTTTTTAATCCTTGGGGAAAAAAATGTTTAAATGACTTTTTTAAAAAAAAATTAAGAGAAAGTTATAAACATATATTAGTGTTGTTATTATTTTGTAAAAACCATTTATTATAAACTAAAAAAATTTTAATAACATATTGTTATTATAATTAATACTAGCCGTTACGCGGCCAGCCTTTGTCTGGCTTTTAAATGTACCGGAAAAATGTTAAAGGGAACACCAAACATTAAATTTTAAAACTGAACAGAATTTTACTGTGCAGAACAACTTTATCAAAAAAAAAAAAAAAAAAAAAAGAAAGAAAAAAAAGAAGATACAAATTTCAATAAAAAATGTATTACATATAAAAAAATTCCAATGAAATAAACATTATCCCTTAATACTTTGCCAAAAACGCATTCTAAAAGAATGAAACTATTCAAAATGATGCAATTTCATCAAAAAAGATAAAATTAAAAAAAAAAAAAATCTGATTCAAATTTTGAAAAAAATTGCTTTGAGGTGCACTGGCTCTTGTCTAGATGCAACTATATACCAAATTTCGTAGCCCTGGGTCTATTAGCTTACGTGCAGCATGAACGAAAGACACACACACCGACACTCTTTTATTATATGTAGAGATTATGGGCTTCGTATTTATCCCTTTTAAATCTGTATAATTATTTTATCATAATTCCTTCATTTGATGCAAAAATCTGTGTTTTAAACTCGTTGTATAAAGCTAAGCACAGTTGAATCCATCTTTTTCATCAGATGGTGGATATGATGCATATCCAAAGTATGCATCATACATTTTGAATCCACCATATGCAAACTCATATCATATATGTGAATTTTAAGTACTCTTTTGTTAATTTTTTTTTTTTTTTTTTTTTTTTTTTTTTTGACTGAATGAGTATTTAAAACGTTCTGCTTTTGCTTTTGTTGTGATGAATGTCACATAGTGTGCATTATTGTTTGTTTATAAATTGTGTTCATGTATTTGCAGTTAACTATGCTTGTCTGTGTCTAGTGCTTAGGAAGAATTTTTGTTTTTCATTTGTAATTAGTTTTATATATGTATAATAAATTTTATCTTCACATTTAAGAAAATTCATGCATTAATTGAAATTTTCTTTGTAATTAAACAAAGATGAATAGAATTTATACCTAAGTAAATTAGTGTAGAAATGCATTTTGGTAGAATTTAATTTCAGCTTTTATTTAATTTGTTTGTTTATTATTAAAAAAAAAACAGCTAAACCCTCAAAATCATTTTTACAAAGTATTTCGTATTTATCAGTCCATTACTCGCAGATTATCATACTATTATTTTTAGTTCTGCTTATACCTCAGGAAAATTTCATTTCACATTCTTGATATATAGTATCTGTAATGTCTGAAATAAGGATTGAAAGTTAAATAAAATAGATGATAAAAAATCCATCAACAACTGAAATCCAAGCAATAGATGTTGACAATGAAATAGTGGATAGTTTAGTGAATTTTGGTAACATTTAGAAATTATTGGTGACAGATTTTTCTCATACAGTGTTAAAACAAGCTACCTTATTATACTGATTATTGCTTTTGTAATTGTAGGTAAATAGATATTTTGTCAAAAGCTATTAAACTTACATGTGTAATTGAATACTGACACAGTATTGTTTTTTAATAAACTTTTTGAGACCGGGGCTTTGGTAGGAGTAAAAGCTACCAAAGGACGGGGAATCTTGAACCGAATGCTTTTCCCCTCTTTAAGAAATCACCTCCTATTTGCAACAAAGATTCTTGTATGTAGTTTAATGGATTCAGAGAGGGGTGCATATGTGTCGCAAAAGGAAGACCTTTGAAAGAGATAAGTGGTTAAAACCCTAGGGACGTCAAATTTGACATTTCACCCCACTTTTCAGCCTGGAAAATGGGGGAAAAAGACATGGCCACTAAAGTGGACAACCCCGTCTTTTCAAAGAGAGGACTCTATGGCCACTATAATGGCCATCCTGTCTTCAAAAGGTTAAATTAATTCATTGGAAATATAATAAACTTTCTGTAATAGGCTGCAGCCAAAATGTGTGCAACTGTAATTATATACTGGTCATCAAAATTAAAGGATAATGAGAAAAAGTATGCACATAATGTTGCAACTAGTGCCCACTGCTGTAATTTTTTATGTTATTTAAGTACAATTGAACACAAAATTGCTGTTCTGTGCATATGTTAGCACTGGAAATATGCTAATTCAGTGAATGACAATGTGATGTGCAATACACAGATGTTTACTTTCGGTCTGTAGTGTTGTTTGTGAATGTGGTATCTCACAGTGATCAGTATTCAGTAGTTATGGTTCAAAAGCATCATTTAAGTGAAGGTCAAAAGTAGCGAATAATTGTTAGAATCAAGGGAGGTCAAACACAAATGGAGGTTGCCCATGATATGAATCGCTCAAAGTGTCATATCAAGAATTTGAAGCCACTTCTTAAGCACTTGATCATCAACTGCATCAGAAAAATGTTTTGTGTCATTATCGGCTCAAAGAAACCACAAAGCGACTACAGAAGATTTGGTTTTAGACCTTCAGGCTGCCACAAGAACTTAAATAAGCCATTCCACTGCTGCATGAAGACTTCAGAGGTTGGACTGTATGCAAGAAAACCATTGGTTTATGTCCCACTCAATTCAGCTTTCAGATGGGCCCATTTAAACTGGTGTCATCTTCATGTTCAATGGCGCCAAGACAACTGGGCCCGACTATTGTTTACTGATGAGTTTAGGTGTAGTATGAACAATAATTCTAGATGTATTTTGATCTGGAGAGAGGAATTAACACGCAACTTGCCTTGTCCATGAAATACTCTGTTTCTGCGACTATGGTTGAATGGTTTGGGGAGGAATCATGACAGATGGCCACACTGAGCTGCATATCTTTCAAGAAGGTTCTGTAACCACTAGGAGTTATATGGACTGTATGTGCCAGAATGCTTGAAAACAGAAGATATGACTTAAATGCATTGCCTACCTTACTCAGCCGACTTGAACTCTATTGAGCATGTATGGGATGCCTTAGGATACCGAATTTCAGGGCACCAAATTCCTCCCCAGACCCTCCTGGAGTTGAAAAATGCAGTTTTAGATGAGTGGCATGAATTTCCACAAGACTTGATCAACACTTTGGTAAAATCTGTGAAATCACTATGTGTAGTCTGCATATCTGGCCAAGGTGATGATACACCATATTAAGAAAATTTTTTTCCACAAAAGGTGACTTATTTTCCAATCCCCATAAATTTGGTTTTAATTTCAATATTTTTCAAATAATCAACTGCCAAACATAACAATTTATGTTAACTAATGCTAATGGGAGAGACGTGTATTTTAAGAACATGATAGCATAATATCAAAGGAACCTGATACACTCCTTCAACCTGTAACCCTTGGTTCTCAGTACATGTGTAAAGTCTTTGCACCATACAGGCCATAACTCTTTCGCACATTTCCATAGATATAGAGTGCACAGTTGTCGTTATGTGTTCCTGAAGGTCATTAATGTCAGTTGATCTTGTAGCTTACATGCATTCTTTCACCTATCCCCGTAGCCAAAAAAATCACTAGAGAGATCTAGTGACTGTGCTGGCTGCACTAAGGGTCTGCATCATCGAATCCAGTGCCTATGAAATGTTTCATATAGGTATTCTCTAACAGGTAAGGAATAATTTGGTGGTGCACCATCGTGAGGAAAGTAACCGGATTTTCTGGTATGGAGAGAAAGGTTGTCTACAACAAAATTCTGCAATATGTTGACGTATGAATCTCTTCGTCCAGTTTGCCCATGAAACAAATATGAACTCAGTACCTCAAACCGCAAAATGCCATACCATATATTAACTGTTGGAGAGGATCGAATGTGCTGTCTTAGTTCATGGGGATTTTCTGTATTCGACAGAATTGTGCCTGTTCACGGTGCTGCTGATATGAAATACATCTTCATCTGACATAAAGAACACAACATTAGGGTCTGTGTGCATCATTCATAATAACACTTCTGCAGCTTGTACACGAGCAAGTTTATCTGCATCAGAAAGGGACTGTATCATTAGGCTGCATTCCCATATCAATGTGGAGAATTCTTAAAACACAGTCTACAGAATTCCCGTTTCCAATGATAATCTCATGCTTGACTTTCCTGGACTCCTGATCATTGTGCCTTGAACATTTAGGATGTTTTCGTCCGTTGGAATGCTTTTGCAGTGTGCGCAGAAATTTCTCATATACTCAAAACCATACCTGAAACTTCCTTACTATTGTGGTGACCCTAACACTTCCGTCCAAGCTGTTACCTTTCTTCTCTCTGCAACGATAAAAAATAAAAGATTATGTACTACCATGTAAGTGGTAGCAGCGTTTTGGATAGTACTGTATTTCAGTCAGCATTTTATGCCAATATTAACATTTGGTGGTTGACTGCTGCTCCTTTATGTGAAAAGTTTTTGTTATGACTAAAGCTGAAAAATATTACCATTTTGCTATGTCAGAATGACAAATTCTAAATAAACTCATTTTCTTGTAAATAATACAAAAAAAAAAAAAAAAAAAACTTTGACCAATAGAATCAGGTGAATGATCTGTGTAACGTAAGGAAACTTGTACTAGTATATGTTTAAGTTTTAAAACAATCAGCTGTCAACTTTTCTTTTGAAAATTTAAAATAAAAATCATACATGTAATGAAAATGAGCAGCATAGTTAGTGGTGGTGGAATGAACCTTTTGACATTTCTGCAGTCGTTGAGATAAAATTTAGAAAAGCACATATTTGGCTAATGACTGGGTAGCGATAGCATAACTGCAAAGTAGAAGGATGTATGATTTGCAGACACTACATAGCACATAATTTATTTTTGAACATTTTTAAAAGATTTTTTTCACAACACTACTTTATGGTGGCGAATAAGCATCCCAGGATTTATCTGTGATGTATTGCATTTCTGAAACAATAGAGGAATCCAAGCAGCAACCAGATGATGGTAGTTTTACAAGCGAGAAGGCGCTAGAATTGAGGAAGAAGGAACGAAAAAGTGAGCAAGATTGCACACTGAAGACCTTGCCAAGGTATCATTACATTAAACAGATTACATTTCAGGTCACGTTACAAGAATGTTTACATTAAGCAAATTAAATTTCAGATATATAACAGATTAATATTCATATGCAGGATTAAGATTTCATTCCATTGAGCATAATTGCACAATGGAAATCAAATGATGGATCACTTTTCAGAATTGCAGGAAATAAAGATTATATTTGCGAAATAATTGCTTTGCTGTTTTTAGAATGGAGAGGGGAGTATGCTCAAATTTAAGAGGAGTTAAAGGGCTATTGTTGATTATCATTAGAAAGGTAGATATTTTATATTTTACACACACATATATATAAAAGTATAATATATTTAACACATTCCTGTTTTTATTCCTCTATGAAAAAGTATTATATTTAAGTTATTAAAAGTACTAGATATTTCATATTTTATATATATACAGTACAAAGTCCTGAATCCGGACTCATCGGCACTTCCGCGATTCCGTATTGGGGGTTTTTCCGTATTATAGATCATCAATTTAAATCTGGTAAGATGGCATTCAGAATTATAAAATTAAAAATATGAAACCATAATTATGAAATAAAGAGCAATCATGATATAAAAGTATCAAAATTTAAAAAAAAAAAAAAAAAAAAAAAAAAAAAAAACTTAATTTTATTTTATTTGTTATTTTAAACATTTCTTTCAATGTAAGTTGTTTAAGTTGCTTCGTTTTTTGTGCTAATACTTTCTCTTTAATTCTATAAACAGACATAATTTCTTGTTCAGTTCCACTGTTTAAGTCCTGTAATTGCTGTGTCGAGAATACTGACTAATTTGTCAATCGAAATTTTTTCATTTTCAATAACCTCTCTGTCACTTTCTTCACTATCAGAAGTGGTGCATCGAAACATGCTTTCGCTTTGTAGATCCTTTGGCAGCTCCAGAATTGGAAATAAAATTGTTCTAACAGTCTGCAAAAAATAATAAGCCGAATCTAATTAGAAGATTAAGGAACAACGTATTCTGCAACATTAACTGAAATAGATAATTAGGTAATTTTACCTTAGCTTATATCGTCCGTTAAACATTAAACATGCATGGGTAAACATATTATGCGCATGTGTAAGCGCATATGCACATGCGTAAAGGTATTATGCGCATGCGTAAATGCATAGCTTTGAGGTCCGGATTAAATACTTATATTAAGTTATTATGATAAAGATTATATGTACTCTATATACATATAATCTTTTAATCTTTAGTTTTCGTTTTGTGTAAGAGTATAATATATTTAACACATTCCTGCTTTTATTCCTGTATTAAAAAGTTAAAAGGAGTTAATAAAGAGCTTTTATGTGCTTTTTTTAATATATATCGGGTTTTAACAAACGTTTCCCGCCACAACAAATATCGTCTGTGCAAGCAGTTCACGTTCCCGTGTTTAATCATATTTTGTCAAATAGTTTTTGTTATTTGAAAGAAAAAGACTAACATTATATGTGCATAAAAATGTGGTAAATGCAGATTTTTAAGTTATTTGTTTGGAAGTAATAATGTATAACATGTAAGTAACATTAATATGTAATAATAGATGCATAATGAAGTAATAATGTAAGTAACATTTTAAATTTTCTTTATAGGGTAGTAAAGTAAGTTTAGCTTTGGCTGAAGCTATGAGAACTATACAAACAACAAAACACTTTGCTCATCCTGCTAATTGGGCCAGCTTTGTTCTCGTTGGGAGTGATGTACATCTCAGTAATCAAGTTGCTTTAATGGGACAGGCTTTGTCGGATCTGTTAAAGACACCTGATAAATGTAGTGCTGCTTTGCGTGTTGTTTTACATTTGGTATGTATACGATTAATGCATTAGTATAAATTTATATATTATTCTTATAAATTTCATATGATACTGAATTTGAGAGATTGATGTGATTTAGAATTTAAGCATTTTTTATTACACCAATACACTTCAAAATTAAAATCTAAACATTTTATGTCAGACATCATAAGCAAGAGTCTGGGTACATGTGTAAAAGTAGAAGGGAGAATGTTTTAAAGTTATTTATATTGTTACGAATTTGGTATATAAAAAGCTAATGTTAGTTCAATTATAAATTAAATGGTTTTATTTCTTGCGCGGTGCAGCGCGTGACGAATATTAAAAGAAAGCTAAGCCGGAAAATTGAAAATACAAGAGTGCGCTGCATTATATAATAAATATCTCTTTTGATTTCGAGAAAGTACTGGAAAATTCTAGCGCATGATTTTAAAATCTTATAAAGGAGGAAAACATCAGTTGTAGTAGTTGCTTAGTTTGTTTGTTGTTTAGAAAACTGCTCTTGTTGATTGTAGCGAATTCGCGGATTAGTGTTCTTTAGCTGTTTTGAATTACGTTCTATTAGACATTTGAGTAGTTAAAAGAAAACTACTGTGAGATATTGTAATACTGTGTGATAATTTGAGAAAATTTAAGCATTTTTGTTGTGATAATAATAAATTTTTGTTCATTTTTCATCGGACTTGTGCATTCATTTCATAATGAACCGTACGCACGCAACAATATTTGGTGTCAGAAGTGGGATTTGAATGCCAATAACAAGAGCGAGGAAGAGCAGTTAAGGCAGTTGATATCAGCCTTTGCTCGTTTAAAGAAGACATGAAAAGAAGAGATGAAATCTAGCCAAGGAAAGATGGAAGGGGCCGTCAAACTCCGTTAAGGAAGAAATGAATTGGGCCAGGAATCCGTTAAGGACGAAATGGAAAGCTGTTCAAGCTGGTCAAGAAGAAATGAAAAGAGAAATACTTGCATATGGAAAATAATTTGAAGCTATGGAAGGCAGAATTGACACAGTTGAAAACAAAGTTGGACAAATTGAAGAAAAAGTTTCTTCCGTAAAAGATCAAATTGAAGAAAGATTTCTTCTGTAAAAGAACATAAGAAGGGAGAGTTTCTGCTGTGAGGAACGAATTGAAAGAAGAGTTTGTGCCGTCCAAACACATCGAACAACAAATTGATGAGACAGTTCTGCAGTTGCCAAAGAAATGGATACTTTAAAGAAATTCGTAGCATCGGCAGGGAGCAGGAGTGATGATTTTAAATTCTTACCAATGCCTGCTCGTCCACCTCTGTAGCTGACATATGATGGGAAGACCTCCTGGCAGGTGTATAAGACACAATTATCTATCGTGGCGAATGCGAATGGATGGGATTCCCAAGCTAAGGCCTGTCATCTTGCCGCTTCTTTAAGAGCCGACGCAGCGGATATCCTTCAGACTCTTCCCAAAAACAAAAGGTTAGATTTCGAAGCTCTGTCCGGCGCCTTGGAGTTGCGCTTTGGGGAGAGAAGTGTTTAAAAGACTACAGCAGGCTCCAATTAAAATCTCGTCAACAGAAGCCTACCGAAAACACTTTCAGGGAGCCTCGCCACAGATGTTGAAAGGCTGTCCCATCTCGCCTTTCGGAATGCCCGATAGAAACAAGGGAAAATCCTGTCCTTGCATACTTTATCGACGGCATCCGAGATACTGAAATACAGAAAGCTCTACAAATGGCGGATGTAAAAGATTTAAAAAGTGCTCTAGTGTACGCCATGAAATTTGAGCAGCCCAGCAAGCCACTTGTCGAGACCGCCACCCAGTCAGAGCTGTTCAAGTCCAGGAGCCAGGGGATCAAGTCACCGCTCATCTAGACGATTTAACTGGAAAACTGAACGCCTTGAGACGGAATATTTGTGAGAAGAAACCGACCGTTAAGTGCTGGAACTGCGGTGCTGAAGGGCACATACGACGAAACTGCAAAACACCCCAGGGTACGGATGTTAAGACCGCTTCTAACAAGCAGCAGGGAAACTAATTAGTGGCCATCTCGCGGGAAGGAGGTTGCCAGATAATGAAAAGCCCCCATTTAAAGCGCTTCAGATTTCTGCAGTGAGAGGCGGCAGTAATGGACTTTTCATAATAGGACATATTAATGGAGTTTCGTGCAATATGACTATAGATACAGGAGCCAACGTCACCATCATCTGAAAAGATTTGGCTCAACAACTAGGAAACAAACTTATCTGGACGCCACCCTGCGTTACCCTCCAGACTGTGTCCGGTGAGAAGATCGACATCGACGGAAAAGTAAATGTTAACATCACGTTTGGAAGTGCCGCTTACCATCACATGGCATATATAGCAGAGATCACTGATTCTTGCATACTCGGATTGGACTTTCTAAGGAAATACAATTTTTCCTTGGATTTTAAAAATAACGAATTGCATTCTACATCTGAGGACATAGCGTTATTTCTAGTTAATGATGAAGAAGTTAAATGTGTCCATAAAATCATAGCACAAGACAATATCACAATACCGGCAAGAACAGAAATTTTACTTCCTGGATCCATAGCCGAAAACAGAAATTTCCGCTACGCATCATAGAATATCCCAATAACTGTAATAGCCCAAAAGGAGTACTAGTAGCCTCAACACTCGTCGACCTATCCAGAACGGTTATCCCGGTGAGAGTCGCCAATATAACTGAAAAGTTGAGAGTTATTAAGAAAGGTGAAGTGGTTGCAACATGTACTCCAGTAACCAGCGTTGAAAGAAAGAGTAACATCTCAGAATCCGTGTCCTCAGAGAGCATTACATTGGAGTTATTGCAGAATGCACAATTAAACGATAAAGAGAAAAGTGGTGCCGATCTTGCGATGCCTGTGCAGGTCGGAAAGGACCGAGGAAACGCAGCCAAGGCAAGCTGCAACGTTACAATGTAGGTGCGCCGTTTGAATGTATCGCCTTTGATATCCTGGGACCTCTGCCACAAACTGCTGATGGCAACAAATACATACTCGTTGTCATTGATTACTTCACCAAGTGGCCTGAAGCTTATCCTATTCCTGATCAAGAGGCTGTCACAGTAGCTGAGGTAATGATACAGCACTGGATTTCCAGGTTTGGAGTGCCTCTTCAGTTACATTCCGATCAGGGAAGGAATTTTGCCTCGGCAGTAATCAAAGAACTATGCAAAGTACTCGGCATTGACAAAACTCAAACGACGCTATTGCATCCCCAGTCGAACGGCATGGTAGAGAGGTTCAATCGAACCATCCTTAATAACCTCTCATTAGTGGTTTCCAGAAACCAACAGGACTGGGACAAGAAATTACCACTCTTTTTACTGGCTTACCGCAGTGCTGTCCACAAGACTACCGGCTATTCTCCATCACAGATGCTCTTCGGTCGTGATCTTCGTCTGCCTTGTGATCTACTGTTTGGCCGCCCTCTGGATGCTCCTTCTTCATCTGAGGAATATATTCAAGATCTCCAGGCCCAGTTTGAAGTGATGCACAACTTTGCACAAGAGCGAGTCAACTTGGCGACGGAGAAGATGAAGATCCGATACGACACAAGAGCTACTGAACATCAGTTCCACAAAGGAGACAAGGTGTGGTTGTGGAATCCGACTCGACGGAAGGGACTCTGTCCGAAATTACAGTCACCTTGGGATGGCCCATACACAGTCCTAAACAGGCTGAATGACATCGTGGTTTGGATCCATAAGTCTTCGAACTCTAAACCTAAAGTCGTTCATTACGACAGGTTAGCTCATTACTATGGCCATAGTACATAATGTAAATAATTGTAAATAGTATAAGACCATGTTCCATTTTGTTTTTAAATGTGTATTTGATTTGATTTGTATTTTGCATTTGATTTTTATTTTGTATTTGATAGCATTTGTTTTGTTTTATTTATTGCATTTATTGTTCATGTTGTTTATTATTGTAATGTTACGCTTATTAATGCATTTTTGCCTCAGTTGTAAGTTTGGCTTCCTGTCCAGGGATTGTACTGCCCAGGACGTGCAGTCCTTGGGAAGGGGGCAGTGTTACGAATTTGGTATTTAAAAAGCTAATGTTAGTTCAATTATAAATTAAATGGTTTTATTTCTCGCACAGTGCAGCGCTTGACGAATATTAAAAGAAAGCTAAGCCAGAAAATTGAAAATACAAGAGTGCGTGCATTAAATAAATAAATATCTCTTTTTGATTTCGAGAAAGTACTGGAAAATTCTAGCGCGTGATTTTAAAATCTTATAAAAGGAGGAAACATCTCAGTTTGTAGTAGTTGCTTAGTTTGTTGTTGTTTAGAAAACTGCTCTTTTTGATTGTAGCGAATTCGCGGATTAGCGTTCTTTAGCTGTTTTGAATTATGTTCTATTGGACATTTGAGTAGTTAAAAGAAAACTACTGTGAGATATTGTAATACTGCATGATAATTTGAGAAAATTTAAGCATTTTTGTTGTGATAATAATAAATTTTTGTTCATTTTTCATCGGACTTGTGCATTCATTTCATAACGAACCCGTACGCACGCAACAATAGTCTTTCAGTGGTCTATAATCTTTTTTTTGTACTTTTTTAGTATCTGTACCTCCAACAAAAATCATGAAAAAGTATTCAGGAGGCAAAGCCATTAAGTCACCAAAATAGTTATGTGGTAGCTTATGATGTCACCCAAAAATATATATATGGCAGTATATGTATATTTGTAGCACAGGTTCATTTAATTATGCATGAATTTGTACTTTCGAAACTGAACTCTTATTTTCCAATTAGTGTTTCTTTTTCCATTAAATATATGTTTTTTCCTTAATACATCGTAATGAGACTGTGGAGTTTGGTAGTTGCTGAAAAAGAAATTGCTGGATTTCTATAGAAATATGGTGTTTTACCTAGAGTGACTATTTTTTCTACAAGGCAATCTGAGGCATTGTCCTCCCCCAACAACCCAAATTTTTTTAAAATAAATAAATGAAAACAAAACTATAAATATGGTAAAAAATTATTTAAAAC